ATAATTAAAAAATCTGAATAAATCCCTAGTTTTTAGAGTTATACTATACTATATCCTTGAGTCCTTTCTCCCTTTCAGGATTACCAAAGTTGAACTGTAGCCAGCTGGATTTCATTCAAGACCCTATTTCTAACTCATTCCAGCAGCTGAGACCATGGTGTTTCTAGAACTCTCTGGATATTTGTGGCATTGAATATGAGTGAATTCTGCATGTGGAATTACTTTAGTTCAGGCCCTCACTTCTTGTCTCCTAGACTTAAAATAGTCTTCCAACTGGTCTTCCTGTCTCTAGCATACGCCCCCTCCGATCTACCCTTCCCATTGCTGCCTGAAGTATCTAATATGCTGCTTTGATCATTATTCCATTAAAAATTATAGGTGGCTCTTTATTGCTTATGAAATAAAGTATAAATTCCTCATATTGGTGACCAAAGCCTTCCATAATCTGTCTCCAATGGAATTACATTAACAGTGTTAGTTCATACTAGTCTTTCACATGCTTTACATTCTAGGCAAATGAAACCATTCTCCTTCCCTGGTCTTGTCCTGCCCTCGATTACTTATACACCTTGGTTTGTAAAATGCCCTGACCCTGACCCCAGTCCCCACCATCTCTACATGTTGAATGAAGTTCCCCGTTAAAGGCCCAGCTCTGATGCTGCCTCCTCCCTGAAGAAAGCCCATCTTTCTTTGTCTCCTCTCACCCCCCAACCAATTAAAGGTGATTTTTCCCCTTGAAATTTTTATCACACTTTGCCCAGACTCTTCTTTTGCATGTATCAATTCTATTTTGGCTTTGTTATTTTGTATAGTTGGCTATTTGTATGTGTCTCTTTTCTTCCCTATTAGATTATAAGTAAATTTTTGTGGGAATATATTATTTAAAAAATAAATAGTTGAATTGAACTGGAAATCTGCTCATCAGAAACTTTCCTAGTATCACTAATCTACTGGATGTTTTCAAACTGAGTTTTTGCACTGATGGGCTGTAGAGTAAAAGATCTTTCCCAGGGCTGCTGATGGCTGGGCTGAGCAACTCCTGGTCCCTGGTCTAAGCTGCCAACACTCCTGATTGCAGCCCAGCCAGTTGTGAATTTTCCACTGTTGCATGAAGTCGGTTTATAGCCAGCTCAGATAGAACCTGTGCTGTTCCCCAATCTCAGGCTGTAACTGAGAGTTTTAATAATTTTTTTTTCCTTTCAACTCTACTTAGCTGCTTTAGTCTTGTTTGTTTTTATTAAGTTAAATTGAAATGCATCTATATTTCATGGAATTAAAACTTTTGCATTGTGGCAGAACAGTCTTAGTAGAGTTCTCTGTATTGGAAATTATTCATCTCAGAACTTGTCTATGTGTTAACTTTAAGTGCTTAAGTATATAGGTATTAGACATGGAGTAAAAATGACAGTGGTAGTTTTTTAATTCATCATAATGCACCTGGTAATTCTTAGTCTTTATAAATGCAAATGTGACTAAGCTATACAAATTATTTTGGCCACACATTATATTGTAGTGGAAAGCCAACTTCCTTTTGTTGAAAGTTCTGATGGCTTTTTTGCTGCATATGTGTGGGTGTGTTATTTGTACTACAAAGATTGGGTGGCCTTGCTGCTGTTAGTACATGCCAGCATGTTCAGTCATCAACAGTTGTTTCCCAGTTGTCAGCAGCTATATTGGATCACTCTTGGCCAGTTTTTGGCATACCCTAAAAGTATGACTGACCCTTCTATGGCTGTCTGTTCTACTTTAGCTTTCCATTAAAAAAAACTTCCATATTCAGCTGTCCCCTATTTTTCTTGGATGACCTGTCAACATGATGCCTACTCTTCCTTAATGTGGCTTTATTTTTATAGAGTCACTGACTCATTCTTTGATTGGGCACAGGTGATATTAGTGGAATTTGTCCAGTAATTAAATAGTAACTAGAAAATCCCAATCTTTTGCCAGTAAAACAAATCATACACTTACTGGTGCTTTTAAATTTTGTTTTCTGTCTTAGTGTAACATCTTAAAGATTCCAAGAATTGGGCCAAGTATGGTAGTACATGTCTATAATCTTTGCTGCTGGAAAGGCTGCGGCTGGTGGATCACTTGAGCTGGGGAGTACAGTAGGGCTAAAGCTGATAAGGTGTCTACAGTAAGTCTAGTACCAATATGGTGCTTCCTGGGATCAGGGAGCCACCAAGTGGCATTAGAAGGGACAAACCTACCCAGACTGGAAACAAGCAGGTCATGCCTTCTTTGCCAATCAAAATTAGGATTCCAGCCTGGGAAAGATAGAAAGATAGAAAGAAATTTGATACAATGGTGTTTATTTTTTCTTCATTTGATCCTTTCTTATCCGAGATGCATTTATTTTGTCTGTGCTGAAGTTTTTCAGGTAATCAGTTCTCTCTCTCTTTCTCTCAGACAGACAGACAGACAGACACACACACACACACACATATATATGCTTCAATCTCTTGTTTTCTTGTTTAGTTAAGACTGTATATCCTACCCATATATGATCTTTAATATTAAGTTAGCATGTCCATTTAAATGTATTATGAAATATGGCATAAGGTGTTGGTCTAAGTCTAATATCTGCCAGAATGCTTTCCAGTTTTCCTAGTAGTTTTTATTAAATAGTTCTTTCCTAAGTAATTTGTGTTTTCTAATTTTTGGAACCCTAGATTATTGAGTTTCATGGTTTATGCTTCTTCTTTGTCTGGTCTCTGACATATCTTTAATCAATAGTAAAGATATTTTTAGAAAGTTGGTATAAATGTAATGATTGATCATGGTTCCAGAGGACCAATGGTGAAGAATGCTACCTGCTTCCTGACACACATTTTTAGACATGGCTAGTATGGGAATTTGTTTTGCTTGACTATGTACATTTGTTAAAAATAAGTAAATACACAAATACATACATACACACATACATACATAAATGCTTGATACTTGAAAAAAATTAATTATAAAAAGAAAGTTGCTATAATTCCCAAGTGAGCTTTGCCATTATTTTGGGAAGATTTATATGAAAGAAGCAGAAAAAGAATTGGTTGTTAGCAATGGTGACAGTTGTTTTTGTTTGGTTATTGAATATACATGATAGCTTCATGACATTGAGAAAATATCTAGAAGCTCAAGTGTGTGATTAGAGGCATGATGACTCCCACCCAACTACTTCTGACTTTCAAAGATCATCCTTGCCCTACATATGGAAGAGTAAAGTCAGCCTATTCCTCATTACCTAAGCCCCACTTTAAATGACTTATGTGGATGACACCTAGACCTACCAAAATAGTGGTTAATTGATCAGTGAGTGGTTATTTTAGAAACAGAATTGCACAGTTGCTTTTTACCATCTGCAGAATGAGGATATGTTTTAATTGATGTTGTGATGTTTTTATTTACTTTTTCTTTATCTATTACAAGTTTGACAACCAATAACAACCACAAACTTCTTCTGTTTACTGGGGTTTTTAAAGTGCATATCAACTTTAACGAGGTTAAAGGACTAAGGAGATAACTGTCCTTTCGTCCGGGCCAAATGTGTTTAGTTCTGGTTCCTGGCTGAACAGTAGTAGCTAGAGGAGATTGAAGTATCCAAGATCATGAAAGGCCTTGAGGTCATACCATATAGACCTGTTAGAGGAGCTGGTGATAGTATAGTAAGAAGAGAAGAGTAAAGACTGTGGAGAAGATGGAATTGATTGATAGATATGTTTAAGTATTCCCTTTGAAAGAGGAAATAATTTGTTCTACTTGGCCCCTGAGGGCAGACCTACGAGCATTGGATAGAAGTTACAGAGAAGCAGATTTAGTCTTGCTATAAGGAAAAACTTCCTAATACTTGGAGTTATTCAAAAGTGGCTTGAGTTGCCTTTGGAAACAGTGGTTCCCCCAGATTAAAATATTCAAGCAAAGTCTGGGTGACCACTTGCAGGATATGTTGTAGAAGATTTTCCTGTTCAGATATGGTTGCACCAAATGGTCTCTCATATCCCTTCTAACACTGAGATTCTGTGATTCCGTGAAAATAGCCCAGTTGGTTTCCATGTCCTCTTTGGAATGTCTTTATTTTATGTTTATTTTATGTTTATTTGTCTGGATTTGGTTGATAATAAATCTTATTATTTACATAGTTATATGTAACAAGTATTATCTTTTGGTTCCTTATTTACTCTGCATTATTTCGTATAACTCATCCCATATTTATTTCTAGTTTTCATATTTATCTTTTCTTACAGAGTAGTAATATTTACATACCATGCCTCACTTAAGCCACTCGCCATTTGTTAGACACATGAGCTATTTATAGCTTTTTGGTATTAGTGCAGTGCTTTTGTTCAAAATCATCAAATGATTATTGAGTGCCTATCATTGTGTTCTTCCACTAAAGTCTTTCTCTAATACCTCATCCAGCTGCAAAGGCAAGCCTGGGTTCTTGAAGGTCACATCACTGGAGCATAAATTCTGGCCTGCCCCACCAGAATGAAAAGGCTTTGAGTATGTGAGTCTGGACCTGGACCTGGCAGTGGATTCTGTATCTCTTTGAAAATCAGCTTTGGTGGGTTGAAAGAGGTCTATCACCAGATAATGGTGGGAGGTGGTGGGTTACACAGTAACACATTTAGAAGTTCTACTACGGTATGGAAGGATTATGATCTGCATGGTTAGAGGGAGTATGTGCAGTGACTGATGAAATCATATATCCTTTGACATATTAAAGAAGTGCTCGGCACTGATGCTTAGCTGGTTAGTGTTAGCTAAGAGATTCTAGCTCCATGGATGAAAGATATGGTGGCTAATAGAATTATAGATTTTTTTATAGTGGAAGTTAACTTAGAGGTTATCTACTTCAGTGTTTTCTTGGCCCCCTCCACATATATAGAATCCCCTCTACATCATCCATAAAAGTATTTAAGTGAGTTAAAAAAAAATTCGCTTGTTTTCTACTATTTAATTCTGTTCTCCGTTTTAAAAGGGTTCTTATCCCTTTGTTCATTCATCAGGGGAAACAGTTGGACCACACGCCTTGACATTCAGTTGAACATCTAAAATTAGGCATGTTACATTCAGTTGCTGAGGGGACAGTTTCAGTACTTCATGGCATTCATTGGATAGAACTTGCAAGTGCAAGTATTCAGAAACAAGTAAGTGACTTCTGGCTATGTACGTGTCTCTGTGTGTATGTATCCACATGCCTGTCTAACTGAAGGTTGAAAAATAGCAAATTGTATCTTTTTCACAAATTCTATTTGCTATACAAATCATCTCTCTGCAGTATACAAATTAAGTGGTCATTTCACAAAAGAGTCATAGCTATTGAAATCTTGGGAGAGTGTAATACATTTTTTGTAAGTATGTGTGGCTTTTGTTGTTGTTAAACAGTATGTACTATGCTGTGTCTAATGGGAATGGTTTCTTTTTCTCTCTCCACAGTTAAAATCTATCAACCTACAGTAATGGCATCATGCTTGTACGAATGTCTTTGTGAGGCAGAACTTGGAAAATATTACCCTCATTTTTCTGCCTTTGGCCTTCAGAAAATAGATGAATTAGCTAAAGTCACAATGAAAGACTACTCCAAATTGGGAGTCCACAATATGAATGACCGTAAGCGCCTCTTCCAACTCATTAAAATCATTCAAATCATGCAGGAAGAAGATAAAACCACTAACAGCACCCAGCAAGATCTTCCAACAAGTAACCTCCATGTCCGTCCTCAAAGAGCCAGATCAGGACCTCGAAGGCAACTGTGCTTTGATGCTTTTGTTGACAAAAAAGACCAAACACCAGAGGGTTTTGCATTTGACACATGTAGTCTATCAGACTTCTGTTCAGCTGAACACAAACCCAATCTAGTAGATATGCTGGAGCATATTCTGCCAGGTGATACCCAGTACAATAAAAAGCCAAGAACTCCTAATGCTGCAGCTGCTGATACAAGTGTGCAAACAGAAACAAACAGTACAGCATTGTTTTCACCAAATAACCTTTCTCCACTTTTGGGAGATATTGAGGTCCCTACCATACAAAGAGTCCCTCACATTTCTGGATATAATTATGGAGTCCCTCATTCTTATATCAGGTAATCATTCATTTTGATTTATTTTTCTTTGGACTAGCTGACAACAAACACAGTATTTTCCTTTAAGAGTTTAAGAAAGATATCATTCTCTAAGCAAAGTCCAGTATTTTGCAAATTATAAAGTGCTATGGAAATGTGAAGGGTTGTTCTTTATTATTAATTTTCTGTTAATGATGTAATATAGAAATGAAGCAACAAATAAGTGTGTTGATAAAATAAAAATCCCTATGGGAAGAAAGCATTCATAAAATTTTGGTATTTTCCAGATCAGTGAAATTATATTGGGTAGCTGCTAGCTAGGATCTACAAAGTATAAGCTTTGTTCAGTGGTGTGCTGGCAAATGTTTAAAAATTGACTCTCCAAATACAGAGGACATAACATTTTTTGTTCAATTCTTCATTGTTAACATTTTCTCCATACCTTTCTAAAGTCTAAACAGTCCACAAAACAATAAATCAAACCCTGATTGTAGCATTTGCTGTTTTCCAAGGTGTAAGTACCTGCACTGAAAATTTAACAATTAACTCTGAAGCCTGCACAACTGGCAATAGCACACTTTAGGCTGTATTTCTGTAGAGCTTCTCTCATTCTTGACCTGGGGCTCCTTCTTTTGTTCAGTGAAGTACAACCCAGGTATGAGTGTCCACAAAGGGCAAAACTGTGAGGTGAACGTAGAGTTAACTGGTGGCCTTCTGCAGTGGAAGAGTCAAGCCACTCACAGAACAGTTTTTCTTAGGATATCAATTTATCACTTTTTAAAGTGCCATATGGGATTTAGCACTTATAAAAGTAAATAACTAATAGCATTAAATTAAAATAGTCCTTTGTACAGCTTGCCTGTAGCATAATCCTGATTGAAGGCACCCATGCTATTGTAGTCCTGGGTGAACAGCCATTGTTAATGAAAGCAAAGATTGGAGTCATTTTTATCAAATGTATGATTTGAATATGTCCTTTTCACATTTGCTTAAAGTTAGAACTTAAAAATAAGGTCCCTCGAGGTATAACATGAAGCAATAACAACCATTTTTCTCTCCTTAACAGTGTCGTAGAAAATAAATTCTAAAAATTGCTTTTTTTCTTTAAACAATATTTATTTTTTCCCCAGTTACATGTAAAGACGAATTTTAACATTTATTTTTTAAAATTTTAAGTTCTGAATTTTCTCTCTCCCTCCTTCACCTCCCCTGTCCCTGAGACAGTAAGCAAGTTGATATAGGTTATACATGTTCATGTAAAACATACTGCCATATTAGTTCACATTGTAAAAGAAGACCCAAACCTAAAGGAAAAAAAAAAACATGAAAAAAATACAGGAAGTGAGCTTCAATCTGCATTCAGATTCCATCAGTTCTTTCTCTGGAGGCGGATAGCATTTTTCATCATGAGTCCTTTGGAATTTTCTTGAATCATTGTATTGCCGAGAATAGCTAAGTCATTCACAGTTGATCATTGTACAGTTTGCTGCGACTGGGTAAAATGCTCTCCTGGTTCTGCTAACTTCATTTTGCGTCAATTCATCTAAGTCTTTCCAGGTTTTTCTGAAATCATCCTGCTCATAATTTCTTATAGCACAATAATATTCCATTACAATCATATAACACAACTTGTTAAGCCATTCCCCAATTGATGGACATCCCCTCAATGTTCAGTTCTTTGCCCCTACAAAAAAAGAGCTGCTGTAAATATTTTTGTAAAAATAGGTCCTTTCCCCTTTTCTTGATCTCTTTAGGATGCAGACCCAGTAGTGGTATTGCCGGTTCAAAGGGTATGCATCGTTTTAGAGCCTTTTGAACATAGTTCCAAATGGCTCTCCAGAATGATTGGATCAGTTCACAACTCCAATAGTGCATTAGTGTCCCAATTTTCCCACATCCCATCCAACATTTATTATTTTCCTTTTCTGTTATATCATCCAATCTGGTAAGTGTGAGGTGTGGTACCACAAGTTGTTTCAATTTGTATAAAAATCTCTTTTAAAATAAACTTCTGTGCAAACGTAAATTGGTCCATAGTTTCAAACAGGATTTCATATCCACTCCCCTTATTTTGTTTTATTTTTGTTATTTGTTTTATGCATATTGTTAAAGTTAGGGTTATTAAATTGGTGAATCAAACCAAACCTCTGGTACATAGAACCAGAAAGATGTGTTTGATTATAATGTAGAACCAAGTAGTGGAAGAAGATGGAACCAATTATAAAATCTCCTTAGAAACCTAGAGTTGAGGCTGTTGGTTTAGCAAATAAGTATGGCAAATACTGTGTAACAGAAAAAGAAAGAGAGAAGGACAGAAGAAGCAGGATATAGTGGACAAAATGTATCAAAAAAAAAACATTTAAGGTGACACATAGAGGGACAGAAAGTTGATATTCATTACTGTTCTACCTAAATTCAACAAGTTTGGTCACTTTATATGGAAAAAAATTAGAAAAATGGTTGGGAAAAGAGTAAATTCATGGGAATAATTGGATAATAAGGGAGATAAAATATGAATTGGGACTTCTAAAAGTTGGGGATGCTGACACACTTTTCACCATATTCAAAAGATTAGTCAGAATGAATTGTATTAAACCTGGAGAAAGAATCTTCACAATCAAAAGCTTTTCAGAAAGAGTTCTACCTCTAATTCCCTAAATTCAAAGTCTTTTATCTTAAGAAGATCTTAATTGCCTAGAGACTTAGTCAGGAACTAAATAGTAAAATTTTTATTCAATAGTGTCAGTACTTTGTCAGGAATTACATCAAAATCAGCAATTAATACTAAATTAAGAATGGGTGATGGTTGGCATTTAAACACATTTACAGACAAACTTAGTTGTTAAAGTATTTGAAACAAAAACAAAAGCAGTTTTCACTTTTATGATAATTTCTCAATTTTTGCACTTCTACAAAGTAACAATACAGAGTAGTCCAGAAGTCTTAGTGCAGTTTTAAGCTTTTTAAGCTTTAATAAGTATTAAAGCTTATTAATTATTGGTTAATAAGTTTTTAAAACAAAAACTAATTATTACTTAATAAGATTAAAGCTTAAAACTGCACTAAGACCTGTGCTTAGAGGTAGCATTCATCTTCATCAGAACTACCAATCAATCATTCTTAAATATGTGCAAGATGACAAAAACCTAATGGGACCATTTAATAATAGTAATACCAAAATTTACAATTAAACATACTTTTCTGTTAACTTCAGCATTTTCTTTTCTTTTTAATGAAAATCATTTTAAAACTTGTTTCAGAGAGAATATGTCAGAGAAGGGTAATGTTTGGACTGAAACTGAGAAAATCCGAGTATGTGTACGGAAACGCCCTCTGGGCATGAGGGAAGAAAGGCGTGGAGAAATTAACATTATTACAGTAGAAGATAAAGAAACTTTACTTGTCTATGAAAAGAAAGAGGCGGTTGACCTTACCCAGTATATTTTGCAGGTATGATGCTACCTTTTAAATTTTGAACTAATTTGCATTTGTGTTGTAAAGAATGTTAACTTTGATTTTTTTATTAGAATATCTTAGAATCTTATTGAGAGAGACTTGAGAGATGGAACCTCCTGCCCAGTGGAAGAAAGAATATCCTCCACACCCTCTTTGAAATAAAGTTCTCCTTAAATATGTCCCTTAATGAGTATCACAGTATCACAAAATAGCAGTTCCATTTTTAGACTTTAGTTGTTAGAAAGTTCTCTCTGGCTACTCAGAAAGTACTCTCTTGCTACTTTCCCATATATGAAAGGCCCCCTTCGGGGGCAGGTAGGTGGCGCAGTAGATAGAGCTCTGGCCTTGGAGTCAGGAGGACCTGAGTTCAAATATGGCCTCAGACACTTGACGCTAGCTGTGTGACCCTGGACAAGTCACTTAACCCTGATTGCCTCACCAAAAGGCAAAAAAAAATCTCCCTTGTTTCCCACCCCCTACCCCAAAAGACTTCCCTTTTTTTCAGACTAAAAGTAGCAGCCTGTGAGCTCTATTGCAGGTTCAGTATTTATCTGACCTTGGGCAAGTCAGTCTCTCTGTGTCTCAATTCTTTTTTACAAGCAAAGTGAAGATATTAATACAACAAATCACAGGGATTTGGGTCAAGCCAACAAGCATTTATTAAACACTGTTTCAGGCATTGTGCTCAGTTCTGGGGATACAAAGAAAGGCAAGAAACAGTCCCTGCTCTCAGGGACTTCACAGTCTAATGGGGGAGGTGACATGAAAACAACGCTGAACAAATGAGATCCATACAGGATAAAATGGGGATAATCAACAGGGGAAAAGCACTAGCATTAAGGGAGATTGGGCAAGGCTTCCTGTAGAAGGGAGGATTTTAACTGGTACTTGAAACCAGGGAATCCAGGAGGAGGAAATGAGGAGGGAGAGAATGCCAAGCATGTCAGACAGTAAGAATGTAAAGTTGGAGATGGAGTTTCTTTTGCAAGGAACAGTAAGGAGGCCATTGTCACTGTATTGCAGAGAATGTTGGGGTGAGTAAGCTAAAAGAAGATTGGAAACCTCGGAGAAGGCTGGGCTGTGAAAGGTTTTGAATACCAAATGGGATTTTCAGATTTGTTTCTGGAGGTGATGTGGAGCCACTGGAGTTGATTGATGGGGGATTAATGGTGGACGACATGATCAGTAATATGCTTTAGGAAGATCAGTTTGACAGCTTAGTGGAGATAGAATGGGGAGACACTTGAGGCAGGGAGACCAACCAGCAGGCCATTGCAATAGTCCAGCCTTGAGGTGATGACGGCCTACCCCAGGATGGTGGCAGTGTCATAGGAGAGAAGGGGAGTATTGTGAGAGATGTTATGAAGGTAAAATTGACAGGCCTTCACAACATATTGGATGTAGGGAATGGGGGACAGTTGAAAGTGAGGAGTTAATGACACCTAAGTTGGGAGCCTGGGTAATTGGGGAAAATGGTAGTGTCCTCCACAGTAATAGAAAAGATGGAAAATGGGGGGGGGAGTGCGCTTAGGGAGGAAAGATAATAAGTTTAGTTTTGGACACAGTGAGTTTAAAATGCCTGTGAAATAACCAGTTTGAGATGGCCAATGGAGACATGTAGTTGAAGACTAGAGGTCAGGAGAGAGGTTAGAGCTAGATAAGTAGATTTGAGAATCATAGGCAGAGAGATAATAATTAAATCCGTGATTGCTGATGAGATCACATGAAGGATTTTATGTCCAACACAGAAGACTTTAGATAAATAACTTGAGTTATGGGGTGGAGAAGTTCCCATTCTTTGTCAAAATGATAAGAACTCAAAGCTAATCAAAAGGTAAAATCTTCACAGTTTATTGGCACTTGCTTCAGATTAGCTGGAACCCTCTTTGATAACTGTTTTGGGTGGCGTAGAAGTACTTTTACATTATTGATCAATACATAACAAAGACGTAGGATGTTAATATAATTATTTCACAATTTGCCTTTTTCCCTCCCCATTCCTTACACCTTCACATATTCAACCCCTAGTATTTATTCCAACCTCCCCCTTATTGACCTAAAAATCAGGTGAGTGGTAGATGAGAAAAATCTATAAATAATGTATTCTCTATTATGTAAAAATTGACCACATTTTATTTACATAGCTTCCTTCACACTTAGGCCAAATTTTTTTTATCATAGTTTTTCTTTCCCCACTTTGAACTCAGATTTCTATTCTTTTTTTCCTCATCTTAGTTACAAAAATTAGACATTTCTCTTTTGCTCAAAGAAGTTGGCTGGTTCTATGTACACAAAATTATTAGCTGATCTCTTCATGCCCAATTATACTTCAGCAATCAGTACTTATTTTGAAGATGGCTGAAATGATTAAACCAATTTTGCCACTTTCTATAACCAAAGGCATAAATACTGTGTGACCATCATCTACAGAAGACTTCTGTAGTGCTGAGTGACTTCAGATGATGCCATTCTTTATTTGCAGTAATTCTCTCAATAAGGCAACACTTTTCCTTTGTATTTATTGAGTACCTGCAGTTGTCGCAGTTCAGCGTTATTATACTTTTTGCCACGTTAGTTTAGAATTCTCAGCTGTCAAGTAATACTAAGTGAGTTTTCTTTGCTTTTTGTTTGTTATAAAAGAAGGCAAAAAAGGAGAGGGACTAGAAGAATTTTAATTCTGAACAGGTGTTTCTTGAATGAATAAAGTATTTAAAATCCATCTTTTTTCATGTTTTACTTGCATTCTTGCTTAGTTAAAGAGATAAATGCAACTGTTTAGAGTGGATTAATTTCATTTACTTAACAATCACAAATACTGTTCATTTGAGTCTACATTAGATTATATATATACATGTACTATTTTGCTTATTCCTAAATTTTACTGTACTCTGACATCATTATCAGCTGTCAGAGGCTAAACTACAGTTAAAAGTTTGTCTTAACCGATTTCTGAATCTTTACATTTTATCAAAGCAAATAATTATGAAAATTTTGTTAATATTTAATATATTTATTCTTTTAATTAATGGTTCCTTTCCTAATATGTTAGCTTCATAACTCCTAAGTAATTCATATATAATTGTAGAAGGAGAGAGGAAAAATTGCCACACACTCAGGAAAAGTAGAGAGCAGAAGTTATTTTCAAGTTTCTATACCTGTTATTGTTCAATTTTTTCTTTTGATTTTCCTGAGAAGTTTTCATATTTTACTTTTGTTTTTGATCTTATGAATAATTTATTGATATTTTATTATATAGTGTTATTTTATTTAATTTTATTAAATAAGTTTACATAAAACAAGTTCCATAAATAATCAGGTATCCTTGCTTAGATATCAAGTACATTAAAAACAATATTTTTAAAACAATGAAAAATCCACAGCTTTCTTTGTCATTCTGTTTTAGAGTTCTCATCTTCTAGCCTTTTTGCAGATGTGATACATTTCTTTGTAATTGCAAAATGGACTTTTTCACCCCAGACTTCCCCTCTATCTTCATTTAGCAAATTTCAGTGCTGATGTAACACTCTCCTGAAGAACTGCATATAAAAAAGAGAATAAAATCTTAGGAAAAAATATATCATGTGGTATAGCTGACCTTCTGGTGATGAGCCTTTCTGAACTTAATTAGTCTGGTCCTTAGATGACAGAAATATATTCTCTAGCTAGACGCAACCTTGCAACCTTTCCATCTTGACAGAACTGACCAGTACTTGCACTCATCCAGAATAGCCTTTGAAAACATAGGATCTGCATGGTGCAGTGAGGCCCTGGAATAATACTTTGAGGCTTACTCTAGTGTGTAATTGGATCCTGCCACTCTTACCCCCATACACAACAATCACAGATTTTCAGAGTTGGAAGGGACCTCAGAAACCAGGTCATCTAACCTGTACCTGAGCAGGAATTACTATCACTACTAATTGTCATTATCATAATAATAGTTTGCATTTATATAGCACTTTAAGATTTCAAGGCACTTTACAAATATTTAATTTGATCCTTACAATAACCCTGGGAGGCAGGTGCTATTATTATGTCCATTTTACAGATGAGGAAACTGAAGCAAATAAGGTTAAGTGACTTGCCCTGGGTAGTAAGTGTCTGAGAAAGGATTTGAACACAGGACTTACTGCCTCTGAGTTCAGCGCTATATCCACTGTACCACCTAGCTGCCCATCTGTCACATACCTGACAGATGGACTTCAGGTTTTTCTTCAAAACCATATTCAGCTTTTGGATAGCTCTGATCGTCAGGGCATATTTCCTTATGTCAAAGCTTAAATTTGCCTCTTTGCTGTTTCCATCCCAAGCCTGCCCACATTGCAGATCCGTTGACATGTTTGTAATTGTCAACCTTCTGAAGCCTAGAGACCTATAAGTACCTATCCCTGGAAGCATCGGAGAATGTCCCTTTCTTCCAGTGCTCAATGAAAATACAAAAAAAAAAATAGAAAAAAACACTGTTGGCTGAGCAATGTATAACAATTAAAACGAGCCTTTTCTGAGAATTTGGAATGCTCTTCTCTTTCTCATCACTTAAGCTACATATCCATTGTGCCCTTTAAAATTTATCTGAAAATTCATACCCCTCCTGGAAGTCTTCTTTCTCACCCCCCTCTAATCTCTCTGGCCTCCTTTAGAATTTCTTGACCTTATTTCAGGGGGAATGAAAGGGCTGCCAACATTGTTGGGCACACCATTTTGGCGGATAATCGCATAATTTTTGCTGCTGGCTTAGCCTGCTAATTGACAACATTTTCCAGATTGTTAAGGTGTGTAGGGTTTGATTCCTAAGTAGTGTAAACTGAGATCTTTACCAGGAATAGTCATTTGGAATGTTTATCAAAGCTGATCCATGGAGATATAGCCCAAAAGAATTGAGATTCTCTGTCTAGGACCCTCTGTGAAATTTTAGTTACTCTTGTGTTCAAGCAGTTCTATCAGGAACAAAAATCCACGCTTTATTTTGTCCTCGTTAAAAATACACACATTAATTGCTATTGTATATAAGCAATAAAGCTGAGAAAACTAAGATATTGTTATCTGATAGCTTCTGATTGCTTATCCTGTCTGTGGGTTAATTATCATTATTGTGAGCTAAAATGTCATTTTACTGGTTTAGTTGAAGAAAATCCATTATATTTATTTTCCTATAAAAATAAAATTTATTTTTCAGCATGTTTTTTATTTTGATGAAGTCTTTGGTGAGATGTCTACCAATCAAGATGTATATATGAAGACCACTCACCCACTCATTCAGCATATTTTTAAAGGGTAGGATAGTCCTTTGTTTCTCTTTCCTTTTCATATACTGTTTTTCTATATGAATCTTGTTTGTATTTTCATGCAGCATGAAACATGAATTAAGAGTTTTCTATCCACTGTATTTTAATTTAATGATTATTTAAATTAAGCTATGTGGAAAAATGTAATATCAATATTTATAGGACTTAGTACCTAGAAATTTGCATTACTCCTCATGCGTGAGTGATTTTGATTCTCTGTGCAATAAGAAAATAGAGGTTGTTTTAAAAAACATAATTTGTCAGAGTACTGAGAATTTAAAGTTTTAACAACTGGTTGTATTTAATCTGATATTTTGATAGTTAGGATTATGTGTCCTTGCTGTAGTTGAAATTAAGATTTCCATAATCAGGCATTGGGTATTCATGAGAGCACAAATTGAGGCTACTCAATAAGTATAATAATAATGTTTAAAAATTTATTAAAGTCACAAATAGACAAAAGTTTTATATATAGTCTTTCAGTTCTGCATTTCTTATCTAACAGTTCTCTAGAGGAGAGGAGAGTTTAGGAACATGAATTAATAAAATGAGTTGGAATTTATTTAAATTGCATTATACTTGATAGTATCACATTAGGCACTAGTATGTAGTGGTGGGGTGGAGAGAACTACTGTAAGTCAAGCTTATTATGGAGAGCAAAATAGGAACCTCTTTCATGACCATATATAAAAAAGATAAATAAGTTTGTACCCTTAAAACAATTCTGAATTTGTTGTGGGCGTTAAAAAAATTTCTTTGTTCTCTCTTTGACAGTCTTTCCTTCATGACTTGACTTTTGTCTTCCATGCACATACATGTTTTCAGTTCCTCTTATAACTGCACTTCTGTCACCTTAGCAAAGTTTATCGAGTGCCTACTGTTTACAGAACACCATACTAGTTACTATAGAGGGGATAAAAGACGTGATCCCTGTCCTTAAAAAGCTGGCAATCTAATCTTAAGTACAGTGTAGTGAAAAGAGCATTGGACTTGGAGTCAAAGGACCAGGGATCTAATGTTGGTTTTGCCATTTATTAGGTATATAGCTTTGGAAATCTTTCGGCCTCAATTCTCCCATCTGTAAAATGGGGATAATGATACACACCTTTCCCATCTCACAAGGTTGTTGTGAAGAAAATGTTTTGTACAGTGGCTGTTGCCATTTTGCTTTTTCATATCTTCATAATTGCTTTCGTTAGCCTCCTTCCCTAGCTTCAGGTTGATTTTCATCTTCTTTCCTTTGCTGCAAGTAGGTACTGTGTACCTATTTATGCAGAGGCTCATATTACCTATTAACTCTCAATTTCCCTGCTTGACATCTTAAACTTTTTGTAATTTTGTCCCATCCTAATTATCTAATCTTATTTTCCATTACTTCTGACATGAACAGTAAGACCTGTCTCTTTATTGCACACCATGCTTATTCTTATCTCTGAGGCCCTGATTCTTATTCCCATTTTGCCTGGATTGATCTTTCTCTCCATCATTTCAAATCTTACAAATCCTTAAAGGCCTAGACTCCAGTTGCTCCTTCTCCATGAAGTCTTCCCCAAGTGTTCTAGCTCATATTAAACTATGATTATTGAAAGGCAGTATCACAGAATTTAGCATTTTGATTATATTTCATTTTATTTATACTCATTTCCTGTGCATGAATCTTATGTCATTAGACAGGAGTGAGGAACCTGCAGCCTCAAGGCCACATGTGGCCCTCTAGATTCTCAAGTTCGACCCTTTGACTAAATCCAAACTTTATAGAACAAATTGGTCAGGCTCCCCAACCCTGTGTGCCTAGCTAGACTAATTCTTTGGGGCAAAGACCATGTCATCTCTTTTTTCTATATACACAGTGCCTAATTGGGCCCATGATAGAAGCTCAATAAATGTGTGTTGGTTGGTTGAGTCAAATCCTTGTTCCTCTCTCCTCCATTATCTTTTTTTTTTTGACTTGTTTTAAGAGTTTATTTAGTTGATATTCTTTACAAGCCATAGTCACACACATACAGGTTCTGTCATGGAGGGGAGGGAGGCTGGATTGTATTGTGCCAGTGCCATTCGTGGTAATAATATCCATGGATTATTAATAATAATTGGTACTTGTACTATACATTTTTCAAAGTGCTTTATGTACTTTATTTCATTTGAGCCTGACTAACTGTATGAGGTAGGTACTACAGTTATTATTATGTCCATTTTACAGATGGGGAAACTGAGTATCAAAGAAGTTGTGACGACCACAGTAATACAGATAGGAAATGTCAGAGGCAGTATCTTATTATACTTTTTCTGACTCCAAGTTCAATACTCTACTATTCCATATTTTTCTCCAGATGGGTTCCCTCTACAAAATATATTAACTTTCCACTATAGTACCATTCATTATAAAACAGAATTCCATTCATTTCAATTAATCATATGTCTATTGAGTTTCGGCTAAATGCTAGACAATGAACTAGGTGCTGCAGGATCTCCTCCATTATCTTTTAAAAAACGTTGGTTCTGTAAATAAATCTGCTTTGTGAGCTCTTTTCCCTCCTGGAGCATTTACAGTGTATATCAGTAAGACATTTCATGTACCTAGCTCATTTTTTGTTATTTATATGCAGGTTAGTAGTATAATAATATGCATAAATGAGTCAAATTCATACACTAATTAATAATTCTTTTCACAGAGGAAATGCCACTTGCTTTGCATATGGACAAACAGGGGCTGGAAAGACTTATACCATGATAGGTACTCATCAAAACCCAGGGCTCTATGCTCTCGCTGCTGAAGACATCTTTAGGCAAATAGACCTAGCCCAGCCAAGGAGAGACCTCTCTGTGTGGATTAGTTTTTATGAGATCTACTGTGGACAACTTTATGATCTTCTAAATGGAAGGAAAAGGTACCTGATAAAACCATGAAACTATAAAGCACTTTGTTGTTACTACTTTGGATAAGAATTCCACAGTCATAATTTTGGGAAAAAAAGTGGCATTGTGTAGGGGATGCTATTTTTTTTGGTGGAAATACAAATACTCTAAGTTTCCTTTTGCCTTGGAGACAATGGGCACTTAATAAATGTATGTTGAATAGAATGGAGTAATGAAAACATTGAGTTTCAAGACAAAAGACATGAGTTTAAGATCCTGACTGTGCCACTGACCAACTTGTGACCTCAGTCAAGTCACTTACCCTTTTGGAGCCTTTGTTCCTTTTATCTATAAAATGAAGGATCAAAGTATTATAATATCCATAAAACTGGAGGGGATCTTAAAAGGCATCTGCTCCAGAAGTTAAAATAGATCATCTTTTTAAAAAAAAATTTATTCATTTTGAACTTAAATACAAAAAGACAAAAAAAAAAAAAACCCTTTCCATTTACACAGCACAACATACTTAGTGGATTCAGTATGAAACCATGAATCTCCACTTCACAGTTTACTTTTTTTTTAAAAACCGTGTAATAAATATTACACATCATTTCCAAAGCAGCCTGCTTTTCTGTGCTTTTTCTTTTGCTCTCTGCTATGCACTTCTTTTTTTCCCTCCTTCTCCTCTACCCCGCAGTCGAGAAGGCCACCATTAAACACAGATTTGTAAAACCATACTATACATACTAATATTTATCAGTTCTTTCTCTGGGGGGGTAGTATCTTCCTTCATAGGTCCTTTGTAGTTGATTTTAGTATTTATGATACTCAAAATAACTTAGTCATTCACAGTTGTTCTTCAAGCAATATTGCTGTTACTGTACACAACATTCTGTTGGTTCTTCTTATTTCAGTCTTCATTATTTCCTGCCAGTCTCTCCGTGTTTTTCTAAAATCAGTCACTTCATCATTTCTTATGGCACAGTAGTATTCCATCACAATCATATACCCAACTTGTTTAGCTATTCCCCAACTGGTAGGCATCACCTCAATTTCCAGTTCTTTGCCACCACAAAGAGAGCTGCTATAAATATTTTTAAACATATGAGTTCTTGTGAAGCAACCTAATAGTGGTATTGCTGGGTCAAAGGCTATAGGCAGTTTAATAACTCATTGGAAATAATTCTAGATTGCTCTGCAAAATGGTTGGATCAGTTCACAGTTCCAGTGACAGGGTATTAGTGTCCCAATTTTTCCACATTGGAATAGATAATCTTTAAAGTCTTTTTCAATTTGTAAAAAGTCCTTTGTTCCTAATCTATCCTATAAAATTGAATCAGCTACAGTTTCTAGCTTGATCTGATTGTTCTGACAACTACTTGAGTTAATCTTCTATGTTTCATTATTTAAGAGGTGATTGGTAACTTTTATTTATTTATTTATTTTTTGGCTAGGCAATGGGGTTAAATGACTTGCCCAGGGTCACACAGTAACTTTTAAATTAAGGACTTTCTTCATTCTCCTGATCATCAAAGCAGTTTCAAGAAGTTAGAATTTTTATTTCTTCCTTTTTGACTCAAAAGCTTGTTATACTATAGATACTGTAAAGTATATGTTTTTCCCTCTTTCCTTCATTTTCTCTCAAAAGCTTCAAATACACCTAACAAAATGGTTTCCTTAGTTACTTCAAAAAATTCTGTCAAACCTCAAATTTTTCAGCTGGGATGAGATTTATATATATCAGCCATGGAGTTGGCACTACTACCCAATCAGCATTACCACTATGTGTGGTGCAGCGGAAAGAACATTTAGGATTTAAAGTCAAAAGACTCAAAAACCAGGATTTGAGTGCTTGCTTTATACTTAGCTGTATGACTTAGAGTGAAGTATTTCCTTCTGGATTTCAGCTCTCTCTAATGTAAATGACTAAAGGCCCTTTCTCACTTTATCATCTTCTGACCACAAAGACAAAATTATGTTCTCTCTGACCGTTTACATTGTTGGGTAGAAGATTGACTCAGGAACACTGATTGAGTGCTTGTTATGTGTCTAACACTGTGCTGGGTGCTATGGGAGATACAGAGTATAAAATTCTTGCCGTCAAAGAGTTTAAAATTGATCTGGGGGAAGAGTAGAGTTTTTTGTTTTTTTTAGAAAAGAAAATGATTCTTTACCTTTCTACCCCATCTGTGCACTAAGGGCTTCATTTCTTAGTCACCTCACCTGATCTCTACTGTTTGCTTTTTAATTTCGGAATCTAATGCACCTTCACCTGGGCCCATGGTACCTACATAAGTAAGACTGACTTCTTGATTCCTAAACTCTTCATACCTACTAGATCCAGCCATGATCATTCAACTCTAGGTCCTAGAATTCATTCCTTGACTACTTCATCCTGTTATTGTCCTAGCCCCAATCCTGACAGATGACAAAACATATTTGTCTCTTTTTTTTGGTCATTTTTTTAATTGTACTATGCTCTGGAAATGCTTGTTTTATGCCATAAATTTAAAAAAAAAAAAAAAAGAAAATGAGTCTTTCCAGTATCAATTTTTTTAGATTTGGAAAGTGAAATGTTTACTTATTTCCAGGCCCCTGCCTATTCCAGACATCTTTAGGTATACTTACATTGCACTTGTCTTGAGAGTTCTAAATATTTCATCTATTTGAGGTTATTTCATGAAGGGTGTTTTCTGTTTTCCTATCTTGTGGATTTATCTTAAGTTACTCTAGAATTTATATATATATATTTGCTTTTGAGAGAGGATTTTAGGTTGCAGAAGATTGTGGAAAACAAATTGCCATCTGGTTGATCATGTGACCTTAAAGGAATTTTTACAGATCTTTTACGTTTTTCATCTGTTTGTTGTCCTCTTGTTTTCATCCTCAAATACTCTCAAAATAATTTGGCTTAGTTGGCTCTCTCATTAATCTTGTGTAAACCTGTTTTTCCCTCTACTTCTTTCTGTTTTATGAGGCAGCATTTATAGATTATTTTCCACTATCTTCCTACGTAATCTTTTAGAAACAGGTTCCTATTTTAATAAGTCTTGCTTTTGGCTACCATATCCTTCTGCTTTGTGAAGTGATCAAACATTTGCTGACTTTCAGGATTCCTAAACTCTTTTGGACTCTTAATAGTGGCAATTGATTTACTAAACTTCCTTAGGACATGGTGATAATCTGTGCCAGTGTCAATTCTTTTATCTATTTCCAATTTTTCACTATTTTCACAGTTGGTTTAAATAGGTCAGGTCTCCTCAGTTGAGTGCCATATCTTCTCATTTTTATTCTTCGATTTCTTCTTTAAAAGACTGAGTCTCCCTATCTCACCCAGGCTGGAAGTACAAGGGCTATTCATGGGAGCTTTAATCTGTTCCATTTCTGACCTAGGCTGGTTTGTCCCTCTTTAGCTGAACTGGTGGTCCCCTACTTCTGGGGTCTCATTTTATTAATGCCAGACTTAACATGGACATCTCACTGGCATAGTTCACTGCAGCTCAGAATTCCCAAACTTAAGAGGACCTCAGGGTTCAGCCTCTAAAGTATTTGGGATTACAGGCATGTACCACCACATCTGGCTTATTGATTTTAGTCTAGATGTCCACTGAGGACCTTTCAACTTTTAAATTTTGCAATTCCATGAAGATTTAGTACTGTAGTAATAAAACTACCGAGGTGTTATTTTATAGGACCAGGGGGAAAAAAAGGTAGCTTTGAAATGCAAAGTTTTTTGAATTGTTCAGAAATACTAAAGGACTTTGCTAACATAAGTATTCAATTTATTTTTAAATTCTGTGCTTAGAAGTATAAAACTTACTTTCTTTTAAAATTTTGTTAGTACTACTCAGGCTTTCAAATGGTCCCTTAACTGACCCAAGTCTGCTACTCCTGAAGCCTTCCTTTTTATTAAAAGGAATATTGAAACTAGATGCTGGGAGGAGGGTTGGGAATTCGGTATCCCAAGTGGCTTAGATTTTGGAAATGTATTTTTAAGTTTAATTTAAATTGTTTAATTGGTCCTATTACTAGCCTTGATCAATTTCCTTTTAACAGATTTGTTTTTTAAATCTACAACGTAAATAAGAGATGGCATTTTCTCTCCTGGTTTAACAGTACTGGTTTAGCTTTACATTCTAGAGATAACCAATAATTTTCTGATTTTCACTTTTCCGTGACTTTGAAACATAGAACCTGGTAGGTGTTCCTTGATGCCTTTAGTTAGATCTTCATTAACATTGTTCTTGCTCCTGCAGACTTTTTGCAAGAGAAGATAGTAAGCATGTTGTACAGATAGTGGGATTGCAGGAACTTCCAGTCGATAGTGTGGATCTCCTTTTAGAGGTAAGCTTTACTATAAAACTGTGCATACCCTTTGACTCAGCACTACCACTTCTAGCGCTTTATTCCAAAGAGTTCATAAAAATGGGAAAAGGACCCACATGTACAAAATTATGTATAGCAGCTCTTTTTGTGGTGGCCAAGAATGGGAAATTGAGGGGATGCCCATCAATTGGGGGATGGGTGAGCAAGTTGTGGTATGTGAATGTAATGGAATACTATTGTTCCATAAGAAATGATGAACAGGTGGACTTTCGAGGTAAGACTTATTCATTGTCTCAACACTGCTACTTTTGACTGTAAGTGTTTAAAGAAATGGAAATATTCACTTAACTCAAGGGCCTCAGACTTAAGCAAAGTAAAAAAAAAATTTTTAAGTGAAATTTTTTATTTACAAAGGGGAAAAGTTGATCTCTTACAAGATTCCCCATTTCTTTGTATTGCTTATATTTCATAATACTTTGGGAGCTGAGGGATTTTAGAATATACCATCACTGAAATTGAAGAAGGCTATTTCCTAGAGCTTCTAAAGATTAATTTTAAAGGATGTTTCAACATACTTTCCTGTCAGAGTAATTTTATCCAGAACTACACTTATTAAACTTACTTCTTATGGACTTTCCACACCTCAAGAAGATTGATTCCCTACAGAAACTTTTTCTGGCAAGTGCTGCGAGAAGGCTGAAAAGTCATGATCTCAGATCTGCAAAGACTTCTCCTTAATTTAACTCATCAGGAACGTTTTTGAACTTTAGCCATAATTTCCACAAGGATTTTGGAAAGACTGGTTGGAGTAGGAAAGTACGTTTATATGGGTTCACCTTTATAGACCTGCTCTAAGAAGAAAGGTCTTCCACAAGCTGGCCCCTGTCAGCCTTTCCACTCATTTTTCTCACTATTCCTACTTCAGAAAAGCAGTTCTATATCCTTCCCCCCAACATGGCCTGTGCATTCCTGTTCCAACAGTATTAAAATTAACTTTTTTTGTTTTGAAACAGTGTCTGTGTATCTCATCCAGACAGGAAGTGTAGTGGCCATTCATGGACCTGATCCCAATGCTAATTGGCAAAGAAGCTTTATCTACTCCATTTTCAACCCAAGTAATATGCCCCTCCCTACATAGCCCCTTACTCTTTGGGGCTCACCATATTGGTACTGGACTCAATGAAAATACTTAATTAGCTTAGGCCAGTGCAGCTCAGAATTCCCAAGGTCAAGAGACCTACCAGCTTCAGCCTCCCCCAGTAGCTGGTATTACAGGTATACACTACTAGATTCAGCCAAAGTTACTTTTTTTTTTTAAGGATTACACTTAAGCTATTAGGTGTGAGAATTTCTAAGGGCAGGGAACATTACTAATTCTTTATGTTGCTAAAAAAAAAAAAAACTCCCAAATTAGGAATCAGGTCTGAAAGTTGACCATGTAGATTAATTTTGATATGGGTACTTAATTTTCTCCATATTTCTAAATTGAGTGCAAGAGATGCAACTTTTCAAATTCATCATGGGTGCTGGGATTGTCCTGTGGTATAATTGTTTGCATCTTGAGTCTTAGAAGCTGAAACTTGAGGAAGGTATTTAAATTTGGCCAGTTTGCAAAATCTCAGCTATTAGCTGAAAAGCAGTCATCTCCTGGGCAATTGCAAAAGCATATGCAGTATCATAACCACATCTATCCTTCAGCGACCCCTCTGAGGGCTGGGTTGCTACCGAACTGCTCATCTGGAAAATTCATATACCTTTGGAGGATTCATATGGTTCTAGGGGGAAAAACAAAACAAAACATGTCAAGTGGGTGCAAGAGTTTCAGCATAGACAGTCTCTAGAGAAATAACCTTCAGGAAGTTTGAAGTCAATGAGGAGAAACTAGAAGGATCCATTGCCTCATATTATTATTCCTTATACGCCTTTTCCATACCCACATGCTTTCCTTGTTGGCCATGAACTTTCACGGGGTAGTGCCTTCTCTGTAACTTTGGTGGAAGACTTCAGGTGAGAGGAATGAATTTCCAAGGAGAAATCTCTTTTCTTTGACTAAAAGCTATAAACAGTGAGAACAAATCTGAAATTTATTCAAGATTTACTCAAGAGGATTTTCTGTAATCTGCTTTCCCTGGTATGTAGGCATGGCCTTTATTATCCCAGAACACCTTTCCTAAGAGAAGGCATAAGGATATCTTTTATGATATATAGTGAAGTAGTACTTTGGATAGGTTATTTACTATTGACTGATAGCCATATCTCAATAGATGAATGGTCAAAGAATATGAACAAACCGCTCTTAAAAGAACTGCCAAATATTCACAATCACATGAAAAAATGCTTCAAATCACTTATAATAGGAGAAATACAAATCAAAACACTCTACAAATTGGCAAAAATGAAAAAAAAAATGGCAACAGTCCTTGTTGGAGGCATTGTGGAAAGAAAGGTACAATAATGCATTGTTGGTGGAGCAATTTTTTTCAAAGCAATTTAGAAGTATGCAACTAAAGTAACTACAATGTCCATACCCTCTGAACCAGAGATTCTGTTACTGGGCTTATACCCCAAGGAAGCTATCAATAAGTAAAAAATATTTATAGGAGCATTTTTGGGGGGGGCTAGGCAATGGGGTTAAGTGACTTGCCCAGGGTCACACAGCTAGTGAATGTTTTTTGTGTCTGAGGCCAGATTTGAACTCAGGTCCTCCTGAATCCAGGGCTGATGCTCTATCCACTGTGCCACCTAGCTGCCCCTAGGAGCATTTTTTGTGATACCTGAGAATTGCAAACAAAGTAGATGCCCATCAGTTGGAGGATGGCTTAACAAATTGTGATACAGCAATGTAATGGAATATTACTGTGCTGTAAGACATGATGCATGTGATGAATATAGAAAAGCAGGGAAAGATTTATATGAACTGATATAGAATGAAGTTAAGCAGAGCTAAGAAAATAATATGCAAGGCAACTACAACAATGTAAACCAAAAAATCAAGAGTAAATGAGTCAAAATTATGCAGATCAAGTAGGGTTGGAATGAAGAGATATGAGAACACACCTCCAGCCTACCCCTTCATGGAAGTCCACAGGCATTACATGTTGCACATGTTGTTGTACTTTTTCAACATATTGATCAGTTGTACTGCTTTTTTTTCTTTCCTCTCCAAAAAATACTATTTATCATTTGGGATATCTTTCTAGGGGAAGGGAGGATACATGAGATACTATAGTGATGTAAGAAACAGAAAGGATCAATAAAAATTTATTTTAAAAAAAGAATTTATGAAACATAAAGTACACTACTGAGAGAGACATTTTTCTTAAGTATCTATATTCTTTTTTTGGTATATGAGTTAGAGGACAAGGAATGGCATATTTTCTGTTAGAAATTAGCATTGCTTTGTATTTCTTCATTTAGGCTTTTTCCCATTTTATTTCTTTAAATAGATTTTTATTGATGTCTTGTTTTTACATCACCTAGATTTCTCTCTGTATCTCTACCCTCTCCCTAGAAAACCATCCCCTAAAATAAAGTTTTGTTGTTTTTTTTTTTTTTTAAGAAAAAGAGAACAAAATTCAGCAAAACCAATCAATACATTCAAAATATCTAACATTATGTGCAATATTCCTTAAATAAAGACTGGGAGGAAGTGCCTTCTCACATCTTTGGGGCCAAACTGGTTCTTTATAATTTTGTAACATTGGTTTCTTTTTCTTTTAAGTTTTTATTGATATATTTTGTTTTGACATTCTCAAATTTCTCCCAATATTCCTTCCCTTCCTTCCAAGAGCCATCCTATATAACAATATTTTTAAGGAAAAAAATGAAGAAATCAGCAAAACCAGTCAATATATCAGAAAAGTCTGAAATTATATTCAATGTTCCACATCTGTGGACCTCCTGCTTCTGCAATGGAGTGATGTGGTATATTCCATTTCTTTCCTTTTCTTGATCTTTGTAATTTTGTGGCATTCATTTTCTATTGTTATTGCTGTTATTTCCTTTTACATTAGTGTTCCAGTCATTATGCATATTGTTTTCTTAGCTCTGCTTACTTTAATTCATGTAAGTCCTTTCCTGTTTTTCTTTATTCGTTATAGTTATCATTTCATATAGCTCAGTAAGTCTATTATACTCATGTATCACAGATTGTTTAGTCATTCTCCAGTTGATGGGCATCTATTTTCTTTCCAGTTTTTTGTTACTCAAAAAGTACTGCCACAAATAAAGCCTTTCCTTTTGTCAGTGACCTCCTTGGGGGATGTATGCTTAATAGTGGAATCTCTGGGATAAAATGTCCATAGATATTTTAGGTACTTTATTTGCATAATTCTGAATTACCTTTCAGAATGATTATACTAATCCACAACTTCACCTACCATCCAATTTTGGTAAGAGTTCTTCATCTGAAGGCTTTATGGCCCAAGCTAAGTTATTCATCTTGCCTCACCATACTTTAAAAGAAAGGTTCTAGTAATACAAATGTCAAATAACCCATTTTGACCTAAGACAGACTTTTAGAAACAGCAAACCCTTAAATAATCTGTGGGACAGTCTTCTTCCCTCTCCTTTCTATCCTCCTCTACCATACCCAGGTGGGGCCTAAGAACATCTCTTTAGGAAATTGCATAGCCTTTGAACCCAATCTCTTCACAAATCACTGCTCTGCCAGTTTCTTAATACGTTGGAATTTCCTTCATCCTTCCAAAACCCAGGAAGACAAGTAAACCCTCCCTTCTTAGGGATTCCATTCTATAGGCCCACAGGAGATAAGACAGAGTTGCCCAGGCCCAAGGCCAAGGTACCCCCGAGGTCAGAGTGCTTGTCTTAATTGTTGTAACAACTGCCATTTCTAGAGCATTTGGAAGGTGTGTGTGTTTTTTTTTAATTTTTTAATTTTTTAAAATTAATTTATTTTGATTTATCAATAATCACTTCCATATGCTTTTGAATTTAAAATTCTTCTCCCCCTTCCTCCCCACTACCCTCCCCAAGATGGTGCACAATCTGATATAGGCTATATATATACATTCTTATTAAACATTTTCAGATTAATGATGTTGTAAGTAAAAATTAGAACCAATAGAAGGAACCATCAGAAAGAGGAAACAAAACTTAACAGAAGAGGAAAAAAAATAGCAAATAGTAAGCTTTGATCTGCATTCAAATTCCATAGTTCTTTCTTTGGATGTGGATAGCATTTTCCATCACAGGGCCTTTGGAAATGTCTTAGATCCTTGTATTGCTGGGAGGGGTTAAGTTTATCAATATTAGTCATAGCACAACGTGGCTGTTGTGTACAACATTCTCTTGGTTCGGCTCACTTCACTCAGCATCAAATCATACAAGTCTTTCCAGGTTTTTCATAAGTCAGCTTGTTCATCATTTCTTACATTTAGAAGGTTTTTAAAGTGCTTTATATAAGTTATCTAATTAGACTTTCTCCACATCCTTATGTGGGGAGGTCTTATCATCCCCTCTTACAGATGTAGAAACGGGCTCAGATCTACTGATCCTCATGCAGGGAGACAAATTTGATCTCCCAGGTATAACTGGAGCTTTGAGAAGAGTAAACCTATGAGTGGAATATGCCTCTGATGGATGTACTTTTTTCATAATAAACAGGATAGGTAATATCAATGGAAGGAAAAATATAACTGTTTTTTGTCATTAGAGTATACCGTAAATCATTTGGACAGAAGATAGAGAGATGTGGACTAGATTGTAATACAGTTCTGGATTCCAAACTGGTTGAATACCCAGACTCAAAGAACAGCTAACCATTAATGTTTCCTTGTCAACTTAGAAGCAAGTCTCCAATGCAGTAGCTCAGTGAACTTTGCTTGGCTCTCCACTAACAATTTTATCATCACTGACTTGGATAAGGGCATGTATGTCATGCTTATTAAATTTCCAAATGCTACAAAGCTGAAAGGGATAGCTAACTTATAGGACTACAGTCAGAATTCAAAAAGTTCATTACAAACTAGAACACTAAGAGGAATATAGTAAGATGTAATTTAATAGGGATAAATGTAAAGTCTTACACTTGGGTTAACATAAATTGCCTTCACGAGTACAAGATGGAAGAGGCATGGTTATACAACAATTTATTAATTAATCAGCAAGCATTTGTGCCTACTACGTGCTAGGCAACTGCTTGCCAGACATACAAGGATAAAAGCAACAATCTGCCGTCAAGGACTTTATGTTCTAACAAGAGAAACAACATGTATATATGTTGGTCTGTAAAACACACATACAAAGTCCCCTGGAGTCAGGACTGTTCGCAGCTGAGGAGGACCAGAAAGGGTGTCATGCAGAAGGTAGTGTTTGAGCTTAGCCTTGGAGAAAATGAGATATCTCACTCAAAGGGAGGGAGAGCATTTCAGGCATGGGGGACAGCCAGTACAAAAACATGAAGATGAGAGATGGAGTGTCATCTGTGAGGAACAGCAAGGCCAATCTGGCTGAACTGTATGACACATGTGTAGGGGAAGAAGATTTTGGAAGAAGACTAAAGAGGCAGGGTGGGCCGGGTTGTGGAGTTTAAAATGCCAAATAAGGAATTTCTACTGAATCCTAGAAGAAATAGGAGGACACTGAAGGATAGTATGGTATAGTAGCTAAGGCACTGGGTTTGGAGACAGGTAGTTTGTTGTTGTTCAGTTGTTTTTCAGTCGTCTCCAACTCTTCATGACCTCATTTGGGGTTTTCTTGGCAAAGATACTGGAGCGGTTTGCCATTTCCTTCTCCAGCTCATTTTACTGATGAGGAAACTGAGGCAAACAGGGTCATTATCTTTCCTGAACTCTCCCTCTTCCAAACTTCCCTATTTCTGTAAAAGACATCTGCATTCTATTATCCTAGTGTCTCAGGTTAGTAATTTCAGCATTATCTTGGACTCTTACTCTCTCCTTCGCCCCGCATATCCATTCAGTTGCCAGATCTTGCTGTTTCTGACTTCATAACCATTCTTGCATCTAACCCCTTCTCTCTACTTACTTAGATTATTGCAACAACCTCTTAATTGGTCTCCTTTCTTCAAATATCTCATCACTCTAGTCCATCCTCTACATTACTGCCAAAGCAATTTTCCTTAAGTACAAATCTGACCATATTCAACCAAGTCCAGTGACTTCCTTTTGCCCTTCTAGGATAACATATAAACTGCTTGTTTAGTTTTTATAGCCCCAACCCATCTTTCCAAGTTCATATACTTTATGCCCCACCCACCGACACACATCCCTATACTCTGCAGTCCAGCCAAACTAACCTTCTCTCTATTCTTCACTTATAACACTGCACTGCCTGTGTCCAAACCTTTTCACTAGTTGTCCTCCCATTTCTATAATGTACTCCCTCCTTACCTTTGCCTAATAGAGTCTCTTTCTTCCTTTAAAATACCTCTCAGTCACCACCTCCTGCATGAATCCTTTCCTTGTCCTTCAACTGCTGTGCCCTCCCTCCTAAACTATCTCATGTTTAACTACTTTTTGCATGCATTTATTTACTCATAAACATACTGTTTATGTTGTATACATTTTTATATATATTTGTCTCCCTCACTTGAATATAAGTTTATTGTGAGTAGGGATTGCTTCATTCTTTGTACTTGAATGCCCGGTATGTAGCACGGTGCCTACCACATGATAGGTGTTTAATAAATACTTGTTTATTGATTGCTTGATTGATTGTGTGTGTGTCTTTAAGTGAGAGGGACTGAAGTGATATATTACATCGTATGTTTACTCTTCGTTTAAGACACTCTTTTTATTTTTCAGGTTATTTTGAAGGGTGGCAAGGAACGTAGCACTGGTGCTACTGGAGTCAATTCAGATTCCTCCCGTTCCCATGCTATCATCCAAATTCAGATAAAAGATTCAGCCAAGAGAACCTTTGGAAGGTAAGATGGAAAGCAGAACGGTTATATTGAATATGATGGGTTAAATTATGAGTCTTCTAGCAAAATGTTTCAGAAACAACCAAGTAGCCCAATGACATGTCATGCTTTAGTTCAAAGATGGATAGTGGAATTTGGGAGCCTGTATAAATCCCAGGAAGAAATGCCATTGGCAAGCGTAAAATAAAGTGATGACCTTTTCTTGGCAAGCCTTATACTAATAAAGGGACAACAGTTGTTTTTTACTATAAAAATATTAGTACAGGAGAAGGAGAGATGGATTTAAGAGAATTGAAAGTCTTCCTCTCTTCTCCCCAATGTGCAAAAAATACATATTTGAATGAAGAAATAAAACAATGGGAATACATTTTAATTAATTTTCTTTGGGTTTTTTTTTTACTAGTCTGCTCCTTATCATATTTATTAATGAGTTCAGCAAACATTTGAATAACATGTCTGCTTATCTTTATTATAAAATAATAGATAAAATAAAAGTTAGTCTATTAAAAATTTCCTGAACTGTCATTTCTGAAGTGTCAGAAATTACTTTATCTTATCCTTAAGTGGTTCTTCCCCAACTTGGAGAGGAACCATCTGTCTGTCCTCAGTTAGGTGTACCTCCCTGAAATGAAGTCTCTATTTTCATGGAAACCATTGCAATTCAGGGGCTTGTTGAATTTTGTTTTATTACATATGTGTGTGTATGGGTGTGTACCCTGGGGTATCAGCAGTAAGTAATTATCCTCACTATTGATACCTGATCATGGCTAGAACTCAATTTGCCTTGGTTCTGTACCTTATTTGGCAGGAGGGTTCTGGAAGGAAGTCTGACATGTAGTCCCTTTCCTCAGAACTGCCTTCAGAACCAAGTGATTTGCATTGTGATAATCTGGCATGAAGCATCGGTGTGATCAATTGCTTTGGGAATACAGCACTAGAATGCTGTTCCCTGTGCCACTGGTTCTTGGCATAACATGTTATTATGATACCTCAGGGAAGCTATGAAACATTTTTCCTTTCTTGAGAAGGGAAAGTATTAAGGTTTATTGTGCTTTTAATATTACAGCATGTTGTCTGCTATCAAATTTAATAGGAAAACCCCAGGCTAAATAAATCCTTTTTTTTTTTTTTTTTTTTGGTTTTTGCCACTAGGATATCTTTCATTGACTTGGCTGGAAGTGAGAGAGCAGCTGATGCCAGAGATTCAGATAAACAAACAAAAATTGAAGGTGCAGAAATAAACCAGAGCCTTCTAGCTGTAAGTTTTTTTTTGTTTGTTTGTTTTTTAGGCAATTGGGGTTAAGTGACTTGGCCAGGGTCACACAGCTAGTAAGTGTCAAGTGATTGGTCTGAGGCTGCATTTGAACTCAGGTCCTCCTGACTTCAGGGCCGGTGCTCTATCCACTGCACCACCTAGCTATCCCCTGTTTTTTTTTTTTTTAAGTGAAGAAAATTATTTTTCTGTTTGTGTGAATGTGTGCATGCATGTATGCTTGTTTATATTTAGTGCTAATATATTTCATATCATCAGTAAAGATGGACCTGCTCACCTAACTGAGAGTGCCCCTGAGTGGCCAGGAAATGTCCTAACCAGCAGTATTTTTTCAGAAGTGCAGTTGGAGGTAGCAACATCCTGGTTGCCTCTGTTTTCCAGTCTCAATTCCTACCAAAAGCCCTCAAGTTGCAAGAAGACAGTCAGGAAATTATTATTATTAATATACAAAGTAACTAAATGCTCAATGTGGTGATAAAACAATAAACAATAAATGTCATAGAAATTCAGAGCTGGAAGGGCTGGAGAGTTTAGGGAAAGATTCATGAAGAACATGGAATTTCAATTAAGCGATATTGTTGTTATCATTTTATGGATTAGGAAAATGAGGCCTGTGATGGCTAAGTGATTGGCCAAGTGACATAGCTAGTAAGTGATAGAGCAGGTACCCATTTAAGTCTTCTCTTCCAGCCTAGTAGTCTTTTCTCTCTATCACATTGTTATATTTAAATCCATACCTGCATACATTAAAATATCATAGTCTTATACACATACGTGTCCCTTTTTTGGTGGAAGGTGGGGAAGCCAGGACTCTTATTATTTCTTCTAGTGGTCCCCTCCTGAATTGTCACTTTCAACCTCCCCTAGTCCCATGAGGAGGATATAGGCTTAGTTTGCTCTGAACTCCTCCCCTTTGCAATATAAGGTAGGTTGTACAATCTGAAAAAGACCCTCCAATCCCTGTTCTTCAGTGTGGAGAGGTGATGAGTGCAGACAGAAAACTTCATAGGCATATTTTGTAAGTCAGACCTCTCTGCATTTTGATACCTAATAGATGTATTGCTTTTTTCTCTCCTGTTGTTAGCTGAAAGAATGCATCCGTGCATTGGACCAGGAACATGCTCATACTCCCTTCAGACAAAGCAAATTAACTCAGGTAAAATTCAAGTTTTCTTCTGTTTTTAACAAATATTCATTCAGTAACTAGTACATAGAGCATACCATGCTAAGCACTATGGGAACTACAAAGATGAATGAAACACATTCTCTGCCTTCCAGGACCTTACAGTCTAGTAGTGTAGAAAGACATGAAAAAATAATTACAGTAGAAGGAATGCATCAATACCTACTTTTGACAATTGAGGGTCAGCATGGTGCATCGAAAACAGTGCTACAGGCTTCATATCCTGGTTCTGACATTATCTGAACCTGGGCAATTCATTACTTTTCTCTAACCTTCAGTTTCTTTATCTATAAAGTGGATGTACTTGTACTACCTACCCTACAGGGCTGCTTCAGAAATGCGCTTCATAAACATTAAGGTAATAGAGAATTGAGTATTGTTGTTTTTGTCTTATGTGTTCTTGCAGTGTTTATCATGTCATATTCCCTGAAATATGACATAACTCTCGATTTTGAAAGCCAGATATGATAAGCCCGTAATAAACCAGAATCACATGTACTAGAGTTAGAGTTGACCTTTGAGGTCATCCAGTCAGAAGAACTATGATGGAAAGGACTTTAGGCTTCATCTAGTGCTCTCATTTTACAGAGGAGACAAGAGACCCAGAGAGAAGAAGCAACTAGGTCAAAACTACCTGGCTAATTAGTAGTGAACTAGGGGCAAGAACCCAGGGCTTTTGACTCCCAGTCCAAGGCTCTTTCTGCTAGATTATCTTACTGATTTGCTGGTCCTGTTGCTAAACACCAACTTTATGAAGCTGTCTCTACACAATGTCTGTACGTAGTAGAAACCCAATGAATATGTGTTAACTGGCTAAAATTAATTGACATAAAATATTTACAAGCATTCTTTTTTTTCTTGATAGGTACTGAAAGATTCTTTCATTGGTAATTCCAAAACCTGCATGATTGCCAATGTATCGCCTAGCCATATGGCTACAGAGCATACCTTGAACACTTTACGTTATGCTGACAGGTGAGAAAAGAGACTTCTTATCTACAAATGGTTTCATACAAATGTACTTGTATAATTTTGGACAGCTAGTTCTATGATAGCAAATGATTGCTTTTGTAGGAGCTTTCCTGCTAGCAGGAGAAAATTTAGTTGTTCATCTTTGGCATTTTGCGAATTCGGCAGGAATGAATACATGCAATGCAGAGAGGGTCAAGAGGCTTGGGTTCTAGTCCCTGCCCCACTTCTTAGTCGCATAACATTAATCCAGTCATTTTGCCTCTGGGCACCCTTATTTACACGGGTAGGTTGGACCAAATAATTGTGAAGGTCCCTTCCAACTCTGACCCTGCTTGATGTTACAGTGCAGTAGTATACATCAGTAATATGAGAGTCAGCAAGATAATGAAAAGGGTAAGCTTGTTCTTGGCATGTCTAAACAATTGCCTAGGATGGAAGGAACAGTGATTTAATATGCTTGGTAATTTCAGCACTATGTAGGGTTTTACTCAGATATTGCTAAGATATTTACTCAGATATTTTGAGACAGAGAGAAAGTATAGAGAAGATCAGCAAAATAATTGGAGGGTGCAAAGCTAAGTCTGTAAGAAGCCTTGAGAAAAAAAGCTCATATTTTCCCCACACACATAAACTTTTTTGCATAGTGCTGGTCGGATGTCACAGCTAAAAGTACATTGAGAGAAAATAAACACACATGACAATAGAAAGAATATAGTTTAGATTTGAACTTTCTGTCCATGAGATATTATAATATGTGCAGCCCTACAAGGAGTTAAAGGGATGACTTGGGTACTTCCCTGAATCTCTCCTGGCCACAGAGTTAGGAATCTTCACCTGTGTTACTGGGGAAGCATGCTCCATTGAGGGGTTTTTTTTCCCCTTTTTTCTCCATTGGATGCTTCAGATGCTTCATGTCTGTGACTGGGTAGCTGCTTTCACAGCCAACAGGAAGCATTTTTATGAAACATTTTATTTTCTTAAAGTCTGTAGTGTTTTTGAACACACAGGCACAAGAAGCAGGTTTCTCTAAAGGCTTTCCATTTCTTCATTTTGCTTTTTGTATGTTAGGACACCAGCAGCAGCAGCCACACTAACCTTAGGAAGAAAGCCTTAATGTAAAATATTGTTTTCCAAAAAAGTCAATATCACACAGAGGCAACATAGTTAGGACCTTAGCACAAGACAACAAATCTTTCTGCTTCAATAATTAACTAAGAAACCATCAGAAGTAACTTTGAAAATAAATGATGCTCTCTAAATGATTACATTTTATATGATGAAATAGCTGTATGGTTGATTAAATAACAATGATAATAATAGCTAATATTTATATAGGGCTTTAAGGGTTGCAAAGTGCTATACATACATTATTCTCATCTGATCCTCACAACCCCATGAGGTAGGTGGTGTTATTATCCCCATTTTACTGAGGATGAAATGAAACCCAAAGAATAACTAGATTACTTGCTCAGGGTCACATGGCTAATAAGTGTCTGAGATAGGATTCAAACTTAGGGCTCCCTAGTTCAAAGCCCAACCTCCCATCCATTACAGCAAATTATTTCCATGATTATTATAAACTAATATATACTTGGTGATTTTTAGTATCAAAGTCCCTACTCCTTTTCTGTGTTAAATTGGATCTGATGAAAATATTTTAAAACTAGATGAAAAGATTAGAAAAGGTTTGGGAGTGCCTGTTTTTTTTAAAGTTTCCCAAATGAGTAAGTCTTCTATGATTCCCTAATATAACATTATTATTAAATGGACCTAAAGTAATGTACCTTGCTGTGATAAATGTATCAAAACAGAATTCTTTGTGCAGCTAGGAAAATTGGATTAGTCAGGTTAGTCATAACGTTTGCTTGTGACCAGCCTTTAGCTGATATGTGCCCTGATGTTGGTAGAATGTAATGGAATTTAATTAAGTTGTATAGCTATCCTTTAATGTAAATATAGTGTTGTTTCTTAGTTTGGAAGTTCCTATAGATCTCTTCTGAATTTAGGATTCTGTAGTTATGCGTTCTGACCTCCACAAGTAGGATTTTGTTCTTTTTTTTTTATAAACTCCAAAGTTCTGATTATTACAAGAAGAAATTTCAGACTCATATTATAAAAAGAAATCAGACTCATAATAGCACATCCTACTTTACTCCTCTTCAGTCTGAAGCCCACATTGTAGCATCAAAGCATAGCTTAGGATAGAGTTTCCATTTCATCTTTTATACCTATTATCTTACTGCTCTGTTGTCTTGACAAACTTTAATCTCTTGTCTTTTAAGTAGAAAGGGAAGAATCTCAACTAAACATAAAAATAGAATACTATTTCCATTTTCAGTAATGACTAAAGTGGTCATTTGGTCATAGAGGAATCACTTCCAACAAGATAAAAGAATCGGTGGTTATTTTTAGGACCCATTCATTCAACAAACATTTATTAAGCATCTGCTTTGTGCAAGGCACTGTGCTTGGCTTTGGGGATAGAGTCAAAAACAAAACCACCTGTGTTGTTCAGAAGCTTACATTCTAATGGGACCATGTAGCACAACACTGGTCTTTGCAGGTATTTTAAGTTAAAATATCTCTAAAATGAGGATCACAATAGTATTTTCATTGATGGGCCTTTTATGATTCTAATTTCTATACCAAATTTTACAGTATATACTTATGTTCTCTGAACTTTAAAAATAGGACTTCTTTTCTCATGTGAAATCCCAAAATTCATATTATTGTTAGGAGAGGAAATTTAAAATATAGTTCAGACTGATTATTGTTCCCCTTACCTCACTCTTCTTCAGTCTCCCCATTTTGTAACACCAAAAAATGGTCTAGGACCAAATTTTGCTATTTCCTCATTTAAATATATATTATCTTTCCACTCAGGTTAGATTTATATCTCCTGTCTATTAGATGAAAGGGAAGAATCTCAACTAAATATAAAAATAGCATATTACTTCCATTTAGAATTCTAAATAAATATTTGAAATAACATTGAAAATAGGAAGCATTGTCCATTGTAATGTTTACAACAGAAAAGGCTTTTAGTCATTAAATCCTTTTTAAGTTATAAGTTCAGGTTAATCATGCTGTTTAAAATTCCCTTGAAAGCAGAAAAATTATTCTTCCCGTTCTGGAACAAGTACAGCTAGGTCCTGATTAATCTGAACAATGAATCCCCTGAAGTGGTCACATTCAGATATGCACTGCATATTTCCATTGTGCTGGAGCCAATTACAATATTTTATATAATGATAATTTTAAATAGTGCAAATTCCAATACATTCAGGTACTTCAAAGGATTCTTTGTTCACACTAATTCGGACCTATGTATTCCAGTAATAAAAGAGTATGTATTATTTAGAGTTTTTTTCTCTGTCTCTAATATACTGAATAAATCCTAAGACTGGCTGCATCTAATCAGCTGTATACCTCTAGGTATTGTTCTAAACTCTTCCACTCAAGAGAATATTTGTCCTATTCTAAAATATTTTCTGAGAGATTTCAAAACTTTATTTGCTCAAGTAAGGGCATTTTTCCCATGCCCAACTTAATTCTCTTTTTTCTTATTCAGCCCTTATGTAAGTGAGGAATAGGAACTTCCAATATTTGCAATAGTATTGGGTTTTTTTTTAAATTGCACGCTGTTGAAAAAATATATAGATTGTAAAAATAATAAATCTTTAACATAAAATACTCACTTGCAGGGTGAAAGAACTAAAAAAAGGAATTAAATGCTATACCCCAGTTACCAGTCGAAATCGGTCATCTGGACATGTGTCTCCAAAACGGATTCAGTGTTCACCTTCAGTACTGCCAGCAGACAAGTATTCTCCCAAAAAAGTGAAGTTGGGATTTCAGCAACCTCTCACATCGGCCTTTAGCACTACACGAGAGAAGTGCTATCCTTTAGCCTTTCATTCAGCCAATGTCCCTTTTTCTTCTACTCCCAAAGTCACGGGCAAAGGGAATATCTCCAAAGGAAATCTTAGCCATGTATGCACCACCCCCACTACCCCTTTTAAAGAACCTGCAAAGGCAGGGTCTCCTGCAAAGAAGAAGACAGAAGATTCTACATTGGGTTTCAAGAAGCTCTGTCCTAGCAGGGACCTTGCTGGCAAACCAAACACAGCTATAGTGCTAGGAAACAGGGGTGTGGGTCTCAGGAGGACCTATGTGTCGGGCCAGTGCAAAAAAGTACCAGCAGTGCAGCCAGTGCAGAAGCAACTTGTATCCCGCGATGAGTTCTCTTTTGGTGAGCCCCATCACGGAGGGCAGTGTAGTCAGACCTGTGAGAAGGTGCTGACCAAATGCTGTTCTGAAGCTTGGACCACTATACCTCCTCATCAGAAAGACAGGGAAGCACATTTGCGTTTTTACCACAAGCAGTTTCAGCAACCACCTCTTCTCCAACAGAAGTTAAACTACCAGCCACTGGAACGGTTTTTATGTCAATACAACCCCCAAGATATTAGAGTCCAGCAAGATACACCTCCCCTGCATCCTCCTTACTCCCCGAACCAAGATGTCACTCAACTGGAAGACCTAGATGACAGTGATTTCAGTGAAGATTCGTTTACACCTATTTCTAACCAAAGGACAGTCAAGAGAAGAAATACCCAGGAATATAGTAAACATTCATTCTTCCTTCATAAGAGAGAAGAACAAGGAACTGAGGATCAGAAAGCTGAAAGTGAGCAGAGTTTGTTTTTTAACTACAGGATAAATACTCAAGAGAATGATTTGAATGAACATTGGGTCTGTGCCAGGAATCCAGCCTGTTTAAACACAGCAGAGCTGAATAAAGGGCACCACAACAAGACCCTTTCTGATTGGAGCATACGGGATGACTTGACTTCCTTAGACTCCTCTCCCAGTGACAACATAGCAGAACAGCTTTACTGCTCACAGGTGGATTTTGTTCATAACAGGAGGAAGAGTAACCGAGCATTTGACCAGAAACATGTCCCTTTCAAAGATGAACCCTGTCTCCAGGCTGATACCACCTCATCACCACCAGAACAGGACCCATCCACATTCTCAGCGTTAAACCTTGCAGATCATGAGTCTTCAGATCAAATTGATTCAGTCATCTTACCACAGGAAGAAAGCAACAATAGCAGCCAAACTCAGCGGATGCAGCCAATGAAGAAAAGTAATAACTTTCATACCGAAGGAGACTTTGGTGAAGTATCAGGGACATCAGCAGAATCGGCTTCCTGGCCGATGGCCCCTCTCACAGTGTCTCTTCTTGAGAGCACAGACAAAGAAACTTCTAATGAACCCTTTCTTAACCAGATACCAAGATCCCCTCAGAGGAGGAAATGGGTACTTGATATGAGGACACCAACTTCTGGAAAGTGTGACAAGGAGGTCAGAATGTTCAATACAACCAAAGACCTCACGGCAGAAAATACCATTATGCTCCCGGGTCTGGACAAACCAACATTGGCTTCTGACAGCAAGTCAGCTCTGCTGCTGTCTCTACAATCAGAGGACCAGTGGTTTTTGTCAGCCTGTGCTGCTGCTGAACCTGCTAGTGATCTCCCAAACCTATCTTCCTCAGCAGTCCATCAGGGCTCAGTTAATGATCCCTCAGTAAGTGAAGCCAATATGGAAGAGTCCTTGGAGAGCCAAGTGGGAACAGTGGCCTTAAGAAACATAAAATGCCAAGACTATGTAAACAGCAAGCATCATGATGCAGATACAGAAGAGACCGTGCTGAGCTGGGATTTGGGCTCCCCAGAAAAGCCCGACCCTAACAAAGAAAGTCTAGGAGTCAGCGCCGGGCCAGCTTCTCCTGTGGTTCCTGTAGATGTGCCTGAAAAAGAGTTTTTGAGCAGCTCAGAGGCTCTTACAAAAACCAGAAGCATTTGTTCCCCTGTCCAGTCCCTAGACCAAGAGAACAAGCCTCAGAAATCTGAAAGCCCCTTCAAGTTGTCTTTCAGTAGTGAGGAAATTGGGCAACTAAAACATAGACTGATGCAGAGCATCTTTACACAGGCAGGCCTTCTTCGGGAACATGCCACAGGCTCTCTGACTGCTGAGCCCATGAATTCTTTGGCAAATCAGACTTCAGAAAACCAATCTACCCCTGGCAGTCAAAGTAGCCTATTCCAGCTTGTGCAAGAGAGGCATGAGGAAACCCTAAAACAAGCACAGTAAGTTCAGACTTCCTTCTCTTCACCTGCATTGTCTAGACCTCTCTAGTTCCACATCCTGACAGTATGTCATTGGCTAAGTATTGGAGCTGGAAAGTAAATTAGAGAGGAGTGTAGTCTAAAGTGACCCAGGGCTCAGCCATCCCCTCTCTGCAGGTGACTCTCTGATGTGTCTGACCAGCCTTTGTCTCTTTCCCGAGCTCCAGTCCTGCATCATCGACTGCCTCTTGGGCATCTCAAACTGGACACCCCAGGGGCATCTCCAATACCAACATGTCTAAAACGGAATCCATTCTTTATCTTTTCCCCAAAGGTCTCTTCTCCTCCCAACTTTTACTTTTGAGAGTGCTGTGGTACTCCCAGTCACCCAAACTCACAAACTTGGTGTCATCCTCTACTCACTTGCTCCCACTCCTCATATCACACCAGTCATTTTCTTGTCATTTCTACCTTCACGACATCTCTGACATGGGTTCCCTTTTTTCCACACACACAGCCCCCTTTTTCCTGCAGACCCTCATCTCACCTAACTACTGCAATAGCCTTTTAATTAGTATCCCTACCTTAAGTTTCTCCCAGTCCAGTCTGTTCTCCACTCAACTGCCAAAGTGATTTTCCTAAGGTGCAGATCTGACCATGTCACCTCCCTAATTCAGTCAGCTGGAGTGGCTCCCTCTTTAGAAGGTCCTTTGGCATTTAAAGCCCTTCACAGTTTGACTCCGTCCACCTTTGTTCTTACTTTCCTCAGTGCACTCCAAGATCCAGCTTCACCCACCTGTCTCACAATTTCACATTTGCTTGTTTCTGTGCCTTTGCATTTGCTGCTTCTCACACATAGAATGCTCTCCTCACATTCCCCTCCTACTTCACTGGGCTTCCTTTAAGATTCAGCTAAAGTTTCATCCTCAGTAGGAGGCCTTTCTCAATCCCCGTTGCTGTTAGTATCTGTCCTCTAAGGATACCTTCAGTTTCCTCCTTATATTTTTTTATGTAAATAGTTATTTTCATATTGTCTCCTTCATTAGAATATGAGCTCCTTGAGAGCAGGGACCAGTTTTGCCTTTCTTTATATCTCCAGCAGTTTTCACAGTGTCTGACACATAAGTAAGTGCTTAATAAATGCCTATTGACATAAGAATATACTGTATAAGGAGGGCCTACATTGAGGAGTGGAACTGTAGCCTTAGACTGAGATGAGTAGAGAGGGAAAGTGGGTATCTGTTCCTATAACCAAATCCATTCACTTATGTGACTTGAGAAGTATTGGATGTGGGGCAAAAAGAGGCTGATTCAGTCACACAAACCCATATTGCAGAATATGTATTGTGTTACTCAGGAGTACAGGATGCTTTCAGAGACACTTGACAAAACTAGAGATGGTTTGCCTGTCACTCTGGGATCTTTACAGTAGTACATATTGAACCCTTCACTGTAACCAGAGAAACAGGAGCCAAAGCAAAGCCAACCAGTACAGTAACCTCATCTGACAATTCCCATGTGCACAATTCTCAGCTCTCTTGTGAGGAAGATAGGTTTCCTTGTCAGTTCTCTAGGACTGAGTTGTTCATTTTTAAATAATTTTATTTTTTTTAAATAACAAGCATTCATTTTATCTCTTTTTTTTTTATCAACCCCTCCCAGTGGGAGAAAAATGAAACCGGAACCCTTGTAGCAAGGGTTCTCAGTCAAGCAAAACAAATTCCCACATTAGCCATGTCCAAGAATGTAAGTTTCATTCAACGTCTTGGGTAAATCACCTTTCTGTCAGGAGGTAGGCAGCATGTTTCATCAAAGAACTCACAATCTAATGGGAGAGACAACATGCAGCCAATTACGTACATGCAAGATCCATAGAAAGGAACTGAAAGGCAATGTCAGAGGGAAGACACTAGCAGCACATCATGGTGAGGAAAGGCCTCTTGCAGAGGGGAAGAGAGAGAACACCACACTTCCTATACATGCTCCCGTGTTTCTCTGATTTCCTCATAGGATGTTCCTATTGTGTCTAGCTGTACCGTAATGTCCCATCATATCCATGTGCCAGCTTGTCTGGCCATTCCTTAAACAATGAGGTTCACCACAGGAATTTGCAATATAAGGTAATTGCAATCCTGAGGCAATGGCACAAAGGAAGTTGGTCATTCCCACTTGGTGGGGAGGGCAGGGAATGAGATAAGGAAGTTTAGGCACTGGGGTTATTTTTCTGTACAAGGTGCCCTTCCAGGGAAGGAAAGGAATGAGATTAGTCAACAGGGGAAAATGAAAAGCAAAAGATATGACTCGAGAATAGTAAAAAGAAAAGAGAAACATTCACTAAGAGACTGTTTCTATGTCCTGTCATGGCAGTAAGAACTATTTTCCATTAACCAGAAGGCTGAGTATTCAGCCCTTGAAACCTGGAGCAGGAGGGTAGCTTTCTCCTGAACCAGTCAAGTCCAGTGGAACCTGTTGGCTCCATAGGCATGTATGAATCATTAGAGGTTCTGTCAGGCCCCCTCCCTAATGCAAGTGGGAAGACCTAAGAGCTACAGGAAATGTATGATCTGATGGTTTAGGGTATAAGAATGAGATTATAAATATAAAATATTGTACATGCCTTAAAAGTACTGTTTATAAATTCAAGCTGTTAATACTTAATAAAACCAGTTAAATGCCATATGAAATGTTGAGTTTGGAGCAGTAGGCAGCCTAGAGACTTGACAACTGGCCGGTAGACTATTTTTTTCTTGCCCCTGTTTGCTTTCTTTGTAAGAACAGTCTCCAGAATAAGGCCGGCACTTGTAGGTAGCCAAGAATGTGATATATATAGCAGCATTTACCATCAGCTTTAACAGTGGGAGAAAAGCACTAGGTTGCCCTAAACTCGATCTTGTTTGGAGACCAATTTATATTTCTTTCCTCTGGTAAGAGAGCAAAATATTGGTTTCCAGGCTGATGGCAACTCCCGAGATTTGCAGCCTCACCAGATTTGATGATAAGTTGCACCAATATTCATTGGGCTCACTGAGTGAAAAATTATGGTCTGAGGGAAAATTTATTGTGCCTAAGTCTGTAATGCAAAAACTACCATGGCTTATTTTAGGGGCCTTGCCCTCAGGGAGCTTATGGGCTAGCTGGGAAAACAAACATTTAAATTAGCACTGCAGTACAAAGTGCAATGCAGGTATAAAATGAGTGGTCCAGATACTATGTTTCTGCCTTCCCTCACCCAGTCCCTCCAAAACTAGTCTGGCTAAAGAGATACCATCCAAGAAAACTGTCAGAGAAACCTGGAGTGGGGGATTTGGGAGTGCAAACAAAGCTTCCTTCTCCTGAAAGGGTTAAGACAAGAGTCCTTGTGTTTCCCCAGGCAGGTTGTCATTCAAGCCCACCAGGAACAGCTGGACAAAATGGCTGAATTGGATTTCAAGGAGGAGAGTTTGATTGATCAAATGACAGCAGCTGTACGTATACCATGCCTTTGAAGGACCTCTGAAATTTGGACCCATTAGCTTCAAGATGAAATTAGCATGAATTAGTCTCCCAATTATGCCTTCATTCTCTGCAGGAGAATAATCATTGGCTATCAGCCAATGAGGAAGTCTCAGTACTGTACTAGCCTTCAGACTTTTGAAGTTTGTAGGCTTGGCCTGAAGCTGAGGCTTCTGACATTCTCTTTAACCATTTATCAAGGACAAATGCTTTGGTCGTTAGACAGCCTTGGTGTCAGGAGGGACTCAGTGTCTTGCCTGCCCCAGAGCAGCCTCAGGTCTCCTGCATGAGGCCAAGGGATGACTTTTGGCAGCTTGGTGACACCAGGGTTGAAGTCAGGTAGACCTGGATTCAAATCCAATCTCAATATTTAGTAGCTGTGTGACCCTGGGCAAGTCACTAGAACAACCTCTATCTTCCTCAGTCTCCTCAGCTATAAAATGGAGATAATGATAGCACTTCCCTCCCAGGGTGGTTGTGAGGATTAAATGAAATAAATTATAAAGCACTTAGCACAGTCCCTGATATATAGGCTCTATATAAATGCTGCCTATCATTATTATTATTTCTCATTGTTATTATTGTAGATCTGGCTTAGTTCCAGGACTAATACAAGCTTGTTTGTTTTAGGTGGAACAGGGTCAAACCAAACCCCCCAGCTAGCTTGATGGGATGATTTTACTCCATAAGGATTCCCCGATCTCTATTCTTTTCCCTTTAGGACCAAGCTGGGGTTGGAGAGAAAGGAATAAAATGTCCTAAGGATTATGGAGGGGTCAGAAATGACCCCTGCTTAGCCAGCTCAGCTCCTTCCCTGACATCCACTGAAAGTTCTTAATAATGTGTTGTGAGCCTCACATGGCAACTAGCCATCTTACTACTTTGTCCTGCGCTGTCTCCTTTCCCTGTAAGAGTCCTCTAATGGAAGAAGCATTGAATTTAGAATCAAGAGAATTTTAGCTCTGTCCCTTACTTGCTAAGTAACCTAGGCAGGTCACCTCACCTGTGTCAACCTTTTTCCTCATCTGTAAAATGGGATTAATAATACTTAAGTGACTTAACTGGGTTATTGTGAAAAAAAGTGCTTTATAATCCTGAAATGCACACATACATATACATTTACATACACACACACACATACATATATCTGCGTGTATATATTATTGTTATGAACTCTTTGGCACAGAAATGTAAGGTGAACTCATCCTCTGTGTTTGTTAGTTTAAACATGTCCCTGAGACAAATTCTTGTTACTCCTATTAAGAAAAGATCATACCTCTCTAGCAGTTTGCTTACCTCTTGAGGTGATTGAAAAAAGACAAGGTGGATTAGAATGTTCCTGCATAGGAGCACACTCGAGGTGCAGTGCTGATACCATCCTCCACTCCCTAGCTGCTGCACTCACTGTTAGTCTCCTTTCCCACAGTGGGCCCAGCATTTCAGTGAATGCTTGCCTTCCTTACCAGCGATTGCAGGGGCTAAGCAAACATTTGCAAGAGGTTGGCTGCTGGAGAAGAGAGAGGAATGAAAATAGCTAAAAGTAGAAAAGAACCCATGTCTAATACCATGTTTTCCTTGTTGCTAAGATAAAATATCCGTATATTTCAACTCCTATGGAACTAAGTCTCAGCTGAGGCCACCAATCCACATGTAGATCAGTTCACTTCATTCCTGTATTTATGAGCTACTCTGTGGCCAGGGCTAGACTGTGGAATAGTATGGGAGAAAATTTGTTTTCCCAGTCTGGTTGAAGAAACAAGACACATTTCATAGAAGTAGCTAAATAACAATATAAGGCAGTATTTGATTAAACACCAGTAAATGTTACCACTATATACAATTGGGAACAGAGAATAATAGGGTGAGATGACTGAGGGCTTCAGCAGTTGAGAAAAATATCATGATTGTTACAGTTTCAGTCAGGGAACTAGATCCTAAAGGCATGAACAGAATTTGAATATAGAGAAAGAGGGAAAGCTTGAGTTGCCAGGTTGCAAATGAGCTCTCCATGTTTGCATCACAATGAGACTAACCAGAACCAGGCATAAGGTTGGGGGTTAAATGTGGATGATAATTGAGACAGCTCTATAGCACTGTACAGTTTGCTGAGAACTAAATGTGTATATTTGTGTGTGTGTGTGTGTGTGTGTTATATGTAAAACCTCCTTTGATCTTCACAATAGCCCTTTGAGCTGGGTAATTCAAATGTTATCACCATTTTACAGATACAGAAACTGAGGCTCACAGAAGGTATCCCAGGACGAGAAATGGAAGAGTTGTTCTCTAGTTCAGGTCTTCTTCCAAATCCAGAGCTCTTTTCATGACACTACAGAGTCTTTAACAGATGAGTTCAAAACACCTGTTTCTCACATTTTTCAATGGACCATCCTTGTTTCCTCCCCTAGGATTTTGAAGACTTTGTGACCCAGCTAGATGAAATCATGGTCCTGAAATCCAAGTGCATCCAGAGCCTCCGAGGCCAACTACAGCTCTACCTTGCCTGCTGCAGGTCTGAAGCTTCCCTAGAGAGAATGTCAGCCTCTTAGATTGGAGAGTCCTTTGGACAGGTGGAGAGGGCTTTGGGGTGGGGAAGGAATACCCCTGCATGCCCTGACTATGCCAACAACTTATTTTTATTCTGGTTCCTTTATGACTAGTGCACAACTGAGTTAAGGGAAGGCAGGGTAGAAGATACCTGTGCAGCAGAGATGTCAACTATGTAGAGTAGCACCATGCATCTCTGGCATATGAATCCTCACCGCCAGTGCTCCTAGCCTTCATGTGGACTATGCCATGTGACAGTGATCCTTAAGATAATGTGGCAGCTTTTTTGTAGAGCACAAAATGTCTGTTACTGAGTGAACAGTCCCACCAAAGATCAGGAAGATACTCGAGGAGATGCTGGAAGGCTGCTGCATGTGAGTGAGCAGGATGGCCTGAAGAGGGAGAGTAACTTTGTTATGTAAGGCCATTCTGGGGGCGGCGCTGCTAGAAGTGGTTTGGCCAGCTGCACAGTTCTTTTAGGAGAACAGAATTGGTTCCAGTATCTCTGATAATCAGCAAAAGTGTAAGTGTTGGGCAGGAGGAATTGCCTAGAATGTTTTCTAGGAAGTTTGGACTCTGAATGTTAAGGAGTGGAGGAGGGGTTACACCATTAGTTCACAGCCCCTTTACTCCTTGGAGGTTTTGACAAAATTGAAGAGTTACCAGTTCAGGTCCAGACCCCTCCTATATCCCAGGCTTTGGAGACTAAGATTGGGTTGAGTTTTTACATTGCCTATTTTAAAAAAAAAAAATTAGTAAGATTATACTAATTTTGACATGTATTTAATTTAATTAATTAATAAAAGAGGTCTGATTTCTACACCTTGTAAACCAACCCATCCTTTGTTCTTAAATGGAAGGCTATTTGTGATCTTGTGCTTTTTTAGCAAGAGTGTGCTTGAGATGTTTTGTGCTATGACTTGCCTTGACCATCCTCATCTGGAGGGTTATGTCTGATGAACAAAGTATTGGTATGTGGTGTTCATTTGTGTCTGGAGTTTGCTTTCTTTCCAGCTCGAAGTAGTGATCACTCTGTGTGCAAGTGGACTTGGTAACAATGTACCCAGTGTTGCCGAACATCATTATAGCATACCTCTTTTTGGTCCTTCCAAAAGTCCTATGAATCAGGTAGGGCAAAGATGGTTGTCTCCATTTTATAGGTTGATAAACTGGTGGTTAGGTAAAGAGACATGTCCGTGGTCATACAAAGCGTTAGTGAACTGAGACCAGAAACCAGATCTCTTGCCTTCCACATCCCACATTCCCAGGCCGTGTTAGTCCTACGTCTGGGAACAAAATTAGCAGTGACAGTGCTACCCCTCAGGACCATAATACTGTACTGTGCTCATCCTCACCTTGAAACACTTCCTTAACTTATGCAAATCATGGCAAGTTCGAAGTAGTCCTACCCTTGTGTAAGGTGTAATGGAAATTCCTTTGCTAATTATACAAGCCAGGGCTTATGTCTTTAAGCCTAAAGTGGCTCTGCACCTGACGTGAAGGCCAGAATAATTACAAGACAGAAATATTGACTTGCATAAGTACAGCTTCTTACTTTGTCAGATTGTTAGAAGATAGCAGCTATCAAGTGAATAAGCCATTAGAGAATATTGACATGGATAATTTTCTCTGTTGCTATTATGGTGGACACTGTGTAACTAATGCCCGTAATTATGGTCTTGGCTTGTGGCCCAAGCAGCTCACCTCTGCAAGGTACTCCTGGGGTTTGTGGTAAAAATGACTGTTTCTAGCTATTAGCACTATATAATTTTGCTGGGTCCTCAGTTCACTCCAATATCTCGCTTGGTCCAAGTAAGGTGAGCCAGATTTGGGTTCCTCTGTCACTATTAGACCCTATAATGACATTCTATAGCCCATACAGACAGCATCTCACCTGTCCTTCCTGCTTCAGTTCAGTGCTGCCTCCCCATGCCCTCACTAGGTGTATTTTCTGGTCTGTTTAAGGAGATATATCTTAGACTGTTGAAGGTAAAAGGGGTATTAGATACCATCTTGTCCAAATGTCTCATTTTACAGATAAGGAAGCACCTAACAGCTAGTTAGTGTCAGAGTCAGTTCGAACTCCAGTCTCCTAACCTGGTACACTTACCTGTACTTACTTACTGCCTCTGGGTAGCCAGAGTAAGTCACTCATCAAATTGGAAGGGCTTCAGCTACATTCAATTCAGTAAACCTTTATTAAGTGCCTAGTATGTACATAGCATTGGAGATACAAAGACAAAACTGGAACCACCTCTGCCCATGAGGAGCTTACAGTCTGCATAGGGATGAGGGGATAAATATATCCTATACACAAATAAATATGAGGAATGTACAAAGTTATATAAAATAATTTCAGGAAGGAAAGATTGTTACCAACTTTGCGATATCAGGAAAGGCCTGATGCAGGTGATACCTGAGCTGTGCTTTGAAGAAAGCCAGGGGTTCTAGGAGGCAGACAGGGAGGGAGAGGGAGGCTTTCTTGAATATGAGACCATTTCCACAAGAGTGTGGAGGCTGTCCAGGGAAAAGCAAGAGAATGAGCTAGTTTGAAACAGAGGGTATAAAAGGGCATAATGTGATTGTAGAGGACTCTAAATGCCACGCTGGACCAGAGAACCCAGAGGCAGAATGGACTTTGAAGTTCTAGTTCAACCCCTTCATTTTATATATAAGGAACCTGAGACCAGATATATTAATTTGCCCAACATTAAGTGACAGACCCAGCAGTTAACCTCCAGTGCAGTGACTCCGAATCCAGTGTGCTTGACACACAGCCTCCCCAAGTTTGTGTATTTTCTTTTTTTTAAATGCTGGTATTCCCAATCTCACCCAGGCTGGAAGTGCAGGGACCACTTACAGGCCTTGATCTCACTGCTTGTTGGCCCAGGAGCTTTGACATGTTCCTTTTCCTGCCTGGCCTGATTACCCCTACTCAGGCACCCTTTGGTGCACCTTTCCTGGTGGTGTCCTTGCTCCCAAGGTCTCACCGTTTTGATGATGGACTTAGTGTGAACAACTAGTTGGCTTAGCCCACTGCAGCTCAGACCTCCCAAGCTCAAAGCCCCCAGTAAGAGGGGTTACCCCATTAGACCCTTTCCTTTCTCAGAAGTTTTGGGGAATATGAAGAGTTGTCAGCTCAGGCCCAGACCCCTTGTGATCTTGAGGAACTGGAATTACAAGTGTGGCCCACCACAGGAGGGATCTACTCTTGATTTTTGAATAGATAAGTTACACAGTCAGATGTTTTAGGAATGTTAGTTTGGTAGCTGTATGCAGGATAGAATGGAGATGAAGAGAGGCTGAAGGCAGGAAGGGCAATTAGGAGATATTGTAATAGTTCAGGCAAGAGATGAGGATGACCAGTAAAGGCTGGAGATGGTGTGAGAGATACTGTTTTGGGAGAATTGACAAGTATTGGCAACTAGATATGAGGATATCTAGCCCTCATATCTCTCCTGACTTCCTGTACCAAATAATCCACTATCGGTTTGCTAACTATCCCCACCTGGATATCCCACCAGTACCTAAAGCATCATACCCAAAGTGCAGTTCATTTCCCCCCGAAAACTCATACCTCCTCCAAACGTACCTTTTCTACTGAGGACCACCATTCTTCCAGTCTCCCAGTTTCACAACCTTAAAGTCATTCTTGACCCTGCCCTCTCAGTGAACTTCCTCCCCTCCTCCCCCCATCCGCTGTAAAGTCTTGTTGATCCTACCTTCACTGCACCCCTCACGTCTCTTTCTCAACACTCCCACTCTGTGGTAGACCTCCTTTGTCTAAGACAAAATTTCTAGAGAAAGAAGGGCATAGCCATGGGGAGTGCCCACTCAGTAACTGGGGGAAATGATGTAGGCAAGGAGCCTTGAAAGGTCAAAAAGTTAAGGAAAGCAAAGAAAAAAGCAGTGTCAAGGAAGCTTGAAGCAAGAGAGTGTCCTACCAAGTGTCAAAAACTGTAGAGGTCAAGTAGAATGAGAGCTGGGGGGGGGGCCCATGGGACGGGATGGGACCAAAAACCATTGACTTTAACACAGATCATTAGTAACCTTGGCCATACAGCTTCATGGTAAGGTCAAGGAATGACTAAGAGGTGAAGAAACCAAAGCAACTACTGTAAATGGCTTTTCCTAGGAGTTTGGCTTTGAAAGGGAGAATTACAGCATGATAGTTTGAGGGGTTAACAGTGAACGTTTTCTTCAACAATGAGGGAGACCTGAGCATGTTTGCATGAAGCAGAAAAGGAGTCTGTGGATAAGCAAAGTGGAGATGAGGAAAAGAGACAGTGACAGAGGACAAGCTTCTGTAGGAAATAAGGCGATGGATCCAAAAGCTCAAGGAGAGGGGTCAGCCTTGGCAAGGCTACGTCTTCATCAAAGACTGGAGCAAAGGAGAATGAGGGATGAGTCTGGATTTTGAGTTGTGCAATGGGACGAAAAAGGGAGCTTATGAAGACCTCTGTTCTCAGGAAAGCTGGTGATGTCTTCTGACAGTGAAGGAAGTAAGGAGGCAGTGTAGAAGTCTAAGGACAGGTTTTGAATAGCCCCTATGCAAAGTGATAATGAATGAAAAAGTATAAAACTATACACAAAAGTTTAAAAGAATGTATATAGTATAAATGCAAGTGAGTGTGCATTTGAAATTTGTTAAAAATAAGTTGGTAGTGAACCCCAGTCAGCATGGCCACACTATTTGTAGGCCCATTCAGCAGCACAAATAGGAAAAGGCAGAGATGGTGAGAGTAACACAGTTGGGGTTTAACGTGGAATGGTTGGTGATGGGAAAGGAGGACAGCGGATTCAAGGAAGCTGTTAATATATAGCTGAACTGATCAACAATAGAGAAGAGGGAAAGAAGTGAGGCCAAAACAAGAGAGATGGACCAGAACAACTCTACAGCTTTCTTCTAAACACAAAAAGTGAGCTCCTTGACAGTAAGGATTGTCTGTTCTGTTTGGATCCCCAGCACTTGGCACAGCATTTTGTACATAGCAGGCACTTTAAAAATGTTTCATTCATTCATTCATGGTAATTTAGTTAAATGTTCAAGTGCCTGCTATTTGTAAGGCACTGTTTTAGGGTCTAGGGAATATAGTCCTTGCCTTCAAGGAGTTTACTGGGAGCATATAATACATACATAGTTAAATATAGTACAAAGAAAACTGAAAGAAAGCATGAATAACCGGGGAAAAGGAGTAATCAGGGAGAGACAGCTTCACCTATTACCTGAACTGAAATTTGAAGGACAAGATTTCTGAGAGGTAAAGATAAGGGGGAAGAAACTGCACAGAAAACTGGTTTTGTTACTGCATTAAGACAAGAATTGAAATATAGAGTTTACACAGAACAGCTAGTGATCTAATTTGATTGAAACAGAGTTCATGGAGAGTAGTATGAGCATCAATGGTCATAACTGAATGTGAATGGGATAAACTCACCCATAAAATAGGAGGGTAGCACAATGGATTAGACACCTGAATCCAACAATAGGTTGTTTACAGGCAACACATTTGAAACATCACAGAAGTAAAATGAGGGAATGGGACAGAATCTATTATTATATTTCAATCATGATCTCAGAAAAAGGAACCGCAAAAGTAAGACCTAATTAAGAGATAAAAATGGAAATTACATTTTGCTGAAAAGTACCAAGGACAATGAAAGTAGTATGAAATAAAGCTGGGAAAGTAAGTATAAGTCAGATTATGGAGAACATAAAGTGCAATGCTAAGGAGTTTGCATTCTATCCTGCCACCAATAGGTTTTTTGTGTTCGTCTTAGGAAGATAATTTTGTTGTTTGGAGGGCAGATTGGAAAGATGAGCCTAGAGAATGGAAGTAGGGCATCCAATTAAAAGGTTATTATAGTCCAGATCAATATTCTCTTAAATGCCAAGTCGAAATGGTCTTCCATTCTAATCCCTTCTCTTGTTCACTTCATATTTGTATAACTGCTCCTTCTAAGTCTCTGATGGTTCCTCATCTACATCAATCCTCCTAGCAGTGAGTGTTTCCAAAGTTCTGTCTTTGGAACCTCATTCTTCTCCCTCAATACTCTCTCTTGATGACCTCACCAACCCCAACTAACATCTCTGTGCAGATGACTCCTAATTCTACATATCCAGCCCCTATCTCCCACGCTTTGGTCCTAGATCAACAATTGTTGGATATCAAACTCAATGTTCTAGAAAACCCTAAAATTTAAACTTATTACTAAACTCATTACCTATTGAAAGCATCACCATCTTTCCAATACCTCAGGCTTGTAATTTGCATTTATTCTGTCACTTCACATATCCAATCAATTGCCAGCTGTCTCTTCCCCATGCCATAGCTGCGACCTTAGTTTAGGCCCTTATCACCTACCTTTTACTGAAATTGCAACAACCTCCTAATTGATCTCCCTGATTTCGCTCTCCCAACTCTGACCCATTCTGCATACTGCTCCCAAACTAATTTTTCTGAAATGGGTCCAAATATGACCATGTGACTCCCCTAGTCAAACAACTCCAGTGACATCCTATTGCTGTTCTAGGATAAAATAGGTTTGTTTAGCTCTTAAAGCCCTTTATAATCTTTGTTGTTGTTCAGTCATTTCAGTCATGTCTGACTCTTCCTGACCCCATTTGGGGTTTTCTTGGCAAAGATACTAAGAGTGGTTTGCATTTCTTTCTCCACTTCATTTTACAGATGAAGAAACTGAGGCAAACAAAGGTTAAGTGACTTGTTCAGGGTCACACAGCTAGGAAATGCCTAAGGCTGGGTTTGAACTCGGGTCTTCCTGACTATGGGCCCAGCACTCTATCCACTGTACCACCTAGCTGACCTTTACAGCTTCGCCCCAACCCTATCTCTCTATTCTCATTGGACATTACTCCTCCCTCACTCTATCATGCAGCTAACCTGCTTTCTTTCTCTTCCTTACAATACATGTCTTTGCAGTGACTGTCCTTCATTCCTGAAATGCACTGTCTCCTTGACCTCTAAGAATTCCTCCTCCTTTTAGATGAAACTTGGGCATGTTCTTCTCTTGAAACCTTTCCTAGACTCCCCAGCTGCTAGTGATCTACCCTTGAAACTATTTTGTATTCATCTACTTCGTAGATATATTGGCTTTAAAATTATGATGTATTTGATGTGTACTTGTTTCCTGCATTAGGATTTAAGTTCACTGTCAGTACGACTATTTCATTCTTTGCCTGATGCAGTGCCTGAGACAGTAGGCACTTAATACTTATTAAGGTACAGTGGTGGGCTGCAGGAGCGGAGGTAGATTTGTAAAGTTAAAGGTAGAAGCAACAAGATTTTGTAACTGATTGGATGTGGATGGGATAGCCCTTGAGAGGAAGAATAAAAGAGGACAGAGGAGTCTGGGGAAGGATGACTGGTTGTTTTGCATTTGAGATGCTCAAAGGACATTCTCAGGAAAGAACATACAATAGGCAAATAAGGAGTGAGGTTAGAGCTATGTTGTGGAGTCATCTGCATAGATTATGCTGAATCCCTAGAACCTGTAATGAAAGGAAACCCAAAACCCAAGTCAGATTCATAGAATGTTTTAGCTGGAAAGACTCTCAGAGAGTCTTGGACACACAACTTAGAAACAACCAATTGCTAATTTGAGGCTTGTCATTTTCATTGCCCTAATGCCCACCTCCTCCCTCAAAAACAGTTGAAATGGCCTTCTAAAGATCTTCTGTGAACTTATGTAGCTAGATGGAAGGATGATTCAGCAGAGGAAATGGAGTGGACAGAAAGGAACAGGAGGCCTATATCAGAGAAACAAGTATCAAGGCTAAGAGATCAGTCACCTTCATCAAAGCTGCAGGGGAGGTTAAGGACTGAGGAAAATAAATTATGTTTTGCAGTTAAAAGGCATTGGTAATGTTGGAGAGATCATATTTGGTAATAGAAGGCAGACAATTAAGCAGTTGGGCTGTGAGGCATTTAGGTTATAACTCTATATTGGGGTATGTATATGTGTGTGTGAGATAGCCTATCCACCCTTCTTGCCACAGTAGCTGAGGTTTTCCCAATTAAAAAGCTCCTAAAAGCATCTTCTGTTCCCCTTCTCCCTAAAGCAAAGGTTCTTAACCTAGGGTCCATGAACTATTTTTGTAAATAACTATATTCAGTATAATTAGTTGCCTTTTTTAAATTGTGCATTTTATTTTATGCATTTAAAAAGTTTTTCAGAGAAGGGAGCCCCTCAGCAGACTGCTAAAGGGGTCATGACACAAGAAAGGTTAACTCCTTTCCTAAAGACTAGTTTAAGGGGGCAGTTAGGTGGTACAGTGGATAGAGGACCAGCCCTAGAGTCAGGAGGACCTGAGTTCAAATCCAGTCTCAGACCAGAGACTTGACACTTACTAGCTGTGTGACCCTGGGCAAGTCACTTAACCCCAAATGCCTTAAAAAAAAACAAAAAACAACTAGATGAAGGACAAAATCCTTTCATTATCACTTTACTTTCAGGACACCAGCTGAAATTCTGCCTAAGTCCATAGCCATGGAAATTTAGTCAATAGTTGCCATGTGAATAATGCCTACTTCCATTTACCTGCAAAGAAAAAGGAGGAAAAAGCCACCCTCTCCTTCTATGCCAGATTGAGGTAAAGCTTGGAGCTTTTTGGGGGGGGAGGGGGGGTTAGAGGGTGTTTTTCTTTATGCAGAGTTCTAAGGCCACTTGCTGCAAAATAGCTACTCTCCATGTGATACAAACTCCAGAGGGCAGCACCAGCTAGGCAGGTAGTCGTTTGCTTTGTTCTCTTCAAGGCTGCCAAAATTACCCAAGAAAATGTCAGTGAGCTGGGTAGGACTGGGAGTCTCTGGGGGGTAAAGACATAATCACACTTTCACCTCTACAGTCAAGAATGAACAGCTACAGAGATGCTAAACCCTAGCTAGTTAAAATAGAAAAAGCACACATAAATGTTGGGGGTGGGGGGATGGTGCACAGCAGAAGTTGAACAGAATCAAGGAACAACACAGTTCTTCCCATCAGACCTACAGGTAAAAAAGCCCTCCCGCCAGCCTAAGTAAATTCAATTCAATCAAAAAAAAAAAAACCTTTTAAACTTTTATTAGTAGTTGTTTCTGAAGAATCAAAATAGTTAGCAAATTACTTTAGATTCATCAAGACTGTATTTTTTTTGAATTTAGAGCTTTAACAATGTACAACATAATACAAAACAAACCAAAGAGACCGATTTCTATTACTAGATGTTACCAAATGTATCATCCTAAAGTAGTGAGTCTATTCCCCAAGAATGATGTGGAAAGTAAAACTGAAACAAAATTGTGAGTTAGGGAGGGCTAACGAGATTGTGGGCTCATTCCCCCAACCCCATTTGAAAGTGCTTCCAAAGAAATTCCTGTTTCACTCTGAATATTAAAGTGTCAACTGAACAGTTTCCTAGAACTGGGGACTTAAAGTCTGGGGAAGGTTGTCAAGGGCTGGAGTTAGATGCCCTGCTCCAACAAGATCCAGGATTTAGCCAAGACTTGAGTGTGGGTAAGCACAACGGCTGCCTGGCAGAAGAGGCAGAACAGAGTCCAAACTCAATGGCATTCTTCATGCCTTTAAAAGTTTAGGAACCAGTGTTACACTAAGTTAGAATCTAATAATGGAGTTCATTTTGAAGAGGAAGAAAAAGTAAAATCAAATAAACACCCTAAAAACCCTTTCCATTGCACTAGATATGGATTTCAGTTCAGCCCATCTAACAGTAAGGGATGTTTTGGTCGAACATATGACATTTAAAGCAGCACTGACTATCTCTGAGTCTCCCAGAGGGAACTCCAGAACACCCCCGTATCTCTTCTGCTCATGGCAAGGGTGAGAACACACCAACAAAGTTTGGTCTTGAATATATGTACAGTCCCCCAGAAAAAAACCAGGGCCAAGCTGGGAAGGGCACTTCTCAAAATACAAATAAAATTAATTGGATGGGTGGCATAGGGGCAGGCCTTAAAGGTCCCAACATTCCTCATGCTTTACCTTCCTCCTCCCCATTCCCACAGGGATCAGACTCTCACACAGATCAATGTGTGATGGTAAGTCTCCATAAGGTACAGAAGTACTCTTCCTGTCTCTTCCCCTCCCACCCCCAACAAACCCAAAACAACATTCTCTCTTCTTCCTAAGGAGAGTGTGAAGCCACTGGAGGGGGAGGGGGCCTCCAGGACTGATGGGAATACTTGGGGCCTCCCAAAGGAAGAGATGCTCCATGGCAGGGTGGAGGTGGACTGGAGGCCTGTTCTCAGCTGGCACCTGCCCGAGCCATGAGGTCTTCCAATGCATTGTCCTGGTCGTTGTTGTGTAATAATAAAACTTCCTTAATGTCTTTCAGTTCAAAGCCCATTTCCTTAAATTTACTCATTAATTGGAGAAATTCTGTTGTCTGAAAGAGAAACGGGGCAGGGGAGAGAAAGAGTAAATAAAAAGGCCAACACAGATCCCCGAGGGAGCATCAAAATAAAATTTGATATAAATAAAATAAATAAAAGCACATTTGCTTATGGGACTAAGTCAAAAAGGTCACCTAATAGTTCCAACATATTCCCTGGCTCCAGTTAAAAGGAGCTTCAAGTATGAGTAGTTAGACAAAGTCACTTGGGAGTGGCCAACGCTAGAGTTCATCTCCCTCACCCACCAGTCCTTCAACATTCTTCTGAAGCCTTCCTACAACTTCTAGGCCCAAGTCATAAGAATTCATATAGATGAGAAACATGCCCATGAATGCCCATAAATTACTGCTGCTAGGACATTTCTCACAATACCTGGCATGGACCATTATAGGATAAAGGCAGTTTTCCACACTCAAAGGCTCTAAAGCACCACCCCCCAAAATCAACTCCACTCTCTTTCCATCTCAGCTCTGGCTAAAATTCCATTGGCCAACATTATTTTCATTTCAATATTCATTTTTAAACTTTTGGGAATAACCCCCCCCTTTGGGAAGCCATATGATCCTCAGTTCTGTCATGACAGAAACAAATGTACTTCTTGCTAGTAAGAAGCTGCAGGGAGGAACTGAGGTCTCTTTTACTTATACCCTTGGCCCTAATCATTCCTTTGGCAAAACATAGACTCAGTCTCCAAATGCCACAAACTGGCTTAGAAAGGGAAAAAGTGGAGTAGGAAGGTCAAGACTTAAAGAAATTGTAGTGTAGTGGTTGAGACTGTATGAAATGAATTCCAGGAATTTCTAGTCCCTGGGCAGACACATCTAACATGTCTCTATTGGACTCACATATCCCTGCCCCAAATCCCACATACAAACCACTAGTCTCACCTTTTCCTCTGAACACTGGTACATTTCCAAAGCTTCTTCTACCAGAATGGGATCAAAGCCCTTTTCACAGAGCTGTCCATGTGCAAACAAATAGTCAAGAACCTAGGAAAAGCAACAAAGAGTCAATTCTCTGCCTTGAGCAGGTCCTGAGGTTTCAGTATGGTCCTCATAGAAACAACTAAATCCAGTCTTGAGTTCCCCTACTCTCTTATTTCCCAAAAGAAGTATAAGGAAGAAGTAGGGAGCATGAGAACTCACTGAATATATATCTAACCAACATGAATCCAAAGACTAGCCTTACTGGGGAGAAGAAGTTGGAATCAGACAGAGAACTAACAATCTAGCCCTGCTCAACCACAACTGGAAACCTGAACCAGTCTCTCATATGTCATCTTAATAGCTCCCTATAGGAATAATAACATTTCTCCCAATCCAATGCATCTTGCTGGTGAGACTGGAAGAAGATAGGAGTTGCTGGTACCTTTTTTAAAAAAAAACAAAACAAAACAAAACAGGTTCCTCTCTACTAGTCCTATCCTATTTTTTCCCCAAGCACTAGATTCTGGAGTCAGACCTATTATGAACTTCTAGGGATAAAGACCTAGTTTCCACAACCAACGGAAGCCTTCTACCAGGAACTAGCCTGCAGAAGACACTACTACTAAACTAATGTCTTTTCCCAGTACTGCTACTGTCAGTTAAAGGAGTGTGGAACTACAGCAATGACTGCAACAATAGATCTAACTCACAGGGAAAGTTGCTTGGCTTCAGGTGCTCTTCCTGTCCTGCCACAAATATCCTCAGACTCTCACTTGGAAATTATGGTTGGAGTTTTAAAAAAAAGAGAGAGAAAAACCACTTTCAAATAACTAGTGAGTCTGTGGAACTGAGGATGGGGTGAAGAATCTGCCTTTTTCAGGTTGTGGTTCCTGAACTCAAACAGTAGTGACTGAAGGGGAGGATGTTAGTCAGTTAACAAGGACCCTGCACTCCAAATATATGTGGAGCTTTAAATACAATCTATAAGTCTAGTCCTACCCACTTTCCTTCTCTAGGCTCTCACCTGCTCTATATTTTCTCCTTTCTTCTTCATGGCTTTCAAGACACAATCATAGGAGTAGCCCATGTTGACCACTGTCTCCACACACTGCCGCTCGCTGGGGGACAGTGCTTGCAGGTCCGAATAGGTTGGTGTACTTGAACCCTGGGGACAGCTGGGGGTGTTGGGCACTTGCGATGTCCTGACACTGTGAGGCATGACCTGGTGGTGGAGAAACATGCAGGGTTATGCTGGAGTGGGATCCTAGGCCACATAAACAACATTCTGGACAGAGAGAAAGACATAAGAGAGGAGACCATGCCTGAACTGTTTCCATCCTTACCCTTACCCCACAGTCCGTAACCAAGCATATGATTACTGAAGTGCCTGCTCAGAGGAAAGAGCCAACCTACACAGTAAACAAAAGAAGGAAGTTGAGATAAAAACTTGAGGCTGAAGTGGAAAAATTCCGTTTCAGACAGAGCTATCTTGTTCTATCCTCCCAGACTCTAAATGAGACAAAGTAACAGGGAAGAATTCGTAGGGTCATAGTATTTATAGCTAAAAGGGACCCTAGGGTAGACTTTCCCAAAACACAGATTTTTAAAAATTCTGTTAGAGTCAACTGGTTCCTATGTCCAAGCCACTAACACTATTTTCACTTGGCATTGATTTTATGACCAGCACTACTATCAAAATGACTAAATGTTTGCTTCCTGGCATCCAAATGTTTTACAAACTTCAGTCTATTAAGGATCTACAGTTTTAGGGAAAAAGTCTGAGGCCCCAAAGTGACTCAGCATACAGAGTAAGTTAACTGGATCAGGGACTATAATGATTGAAAACTGAAAAGGACCTCAGTGGCTATCTAATCCAACTCATACAAGAAAGGAATCCTCACCATGACATACCCAACAAGGGGCTATCGAGTCTCTGCTTGAAGACCTCTAAGGAGAAGGAACCTAGCACTTGTCTACACAACACATTCCACTTTTATACATCTCCTCTGCTAACAAGTTTTTATCATGTTTTTCCTGACACTGAGCTTAAATTTGCCTCTTTGAAGCTTCCCCACTGCTCGATTCTACTCTCTGAGGCTAATGAAAACAAACCTAGTCCCTTTGCTACACTACAGCCCTTCAAATACTTGAAGACAATATCACGTCTTTCCCCTCCCCAAGTCTTCTTTTCTGTAGGCTAAAACTCTCCAGTTCCTTCTCTAGGGCAAAAGAATTGCCAACATCTTGGCTAAATTCCTACTTGCTCTTAAAACCTCTTGTACAAGTGCAACTCCAGCTGAGGCTGAGAAAAATCTCTCTCAGGATCAAGATTCCTAGTCATACACACACAGAGACACCAAGAACCTGTTAGCTCAGAACCTGTGCTTAATCCTAGAAAGACTGACCTGGCCCACAAGCTGAGCAATGAGACTAGGCATAGGGGTGGGGAACCTGCAGCCTTGAGGCCACATGTGGCCCTCTAGGTCCTCAAGTGTGGTCCTTTGACTGAAGCCAAACTTCACAGAACAAATCCCCTTAATAGAAGTATCTGTTCTGTAAAAGTTGGGACTCAGTCAAAAGGCTGCACCCAAGGACCTAGAAGGCCACACACGGCCTTAAGGCTGCAAGTTCCCCACCCCTGGACTAGGGAAATGAGTAGAGTTCAATCTGACAGGAGCTGTAATATGAACGGCTCTGGTTCTGTCTACTGCTCCCTGGCAGGACCTAAAGGTCCCCCAAAACAGCCAATATTCTCTACCCAACCACCATTTGGTCTGTTCATGATTTTCACATCATTTCCCACCTGCTCTTCCCTCTGCATCTGGGATGGGAGCTAATAATTCCAGCTCACATTTACTCAATGCTTTAAGGTTTGCAAAATGCTTTACATACCTCAACTGAACAGAGAGGAAACCTGGTCACTGAGATAACTTAAGTTTCTAGGACCTAACTTGGCCTTAAGCCAAGACTCATAGCTTAATAACCACTATTTGATAATGATTTAATGCAGTTTATTACTTCATCAAATATTTATTATAAGTGCTTGTGTGCAAAGAATGAAACTACACAGAAGGGAGAGGAAAATGCAGCCAATGCTACCAGTAATGGCATTTTTCACTACTGTACTCCAACAACATCCTGGTCATTGGTTCGTCTCTGGTTCTATTAAAGCTGATGATCGGGGCAGCTAGGTGGAGCAGTGGATAGAGCACTGCCCTGGATTCAAGAGGACCTGAATTCAAATCTGACCTCAGACACATAACACTTACTAGCTGTGTGACCTGGGGCAAGTCACTTAACCCCACTGCCTAAGCAAAAAAAAAAAAAAAAAAAAAAAGCTGATGATCCTTTCCTCTACCCAATCAGCATTACTTTCATCCCACGATGAAAATCAGCATTACTTTGGCATCCCAGGAAAAGAGTGGGTTTGGGGGAAATCTAATGAGTTCTGTTATGAACATAGGGTCTAGGGCATCTAGTTTGGAAGGTCCAACAGGCAACTTGTAGGATACAGGACTAGAGACTGAAATACTGGGGTCTGATATGTTGTGGTGGTGGTGATTCAGTCCTATCAGTCATGTCCAACTCTCCATGATCCCATTTGGGATTTTCTTGGCAGAGACACTACAGTGGTTTGTCATTTCCTTCTCCAGATCATTTTACAGTTGAGGGAAACCGAGGCAAACAGGATTAAGTGACTTGCCCAAGGTCACACAGCTAGTAGATGTCTGAGGCTGGATTTGAAGTCAGGAAGATGAATCTTCTCCAAGTGAGAGAGTATAGAGAAAAGAAATGAGGGCCTGGGAAGGAGCCTTAGAGTACACCCAAAGTTAGGGAGCATGACGTGGATGAAGATCCAACAACAGCGACTGAGAAGGAGCAGTCAGATAAGTAGGAGGAAAACCAAGAGACTGTTTAAGAATAGAGGAAACAACTTGGGCATGTTTACAGGCAACAGCAAAGGATCGAGCAGAAATGGAAAGAATGAGGAACAGAAAGAGATGAAAAATGATAGTGAGGGGAATCTGCTAATAAATAGGATGGGATGAGGGATCAACTTTGGCAATAAGGTCCCAACTCTTCATCAGCAATTGAAGTGAAGGGCACAGTGAGAGGCTGTGGAAGAAGCGGAGAGAGGGATCCTGGCAAATGACCAGCTCCTCTCTACTCAAGAAATTCCACTGGCTCCTTATTATCTCTAGGATCAAATATAAACTCTTCCGTGTGTCCTTTAAAGACCTTTACATATATTTCTAGTTCAAAATTGAGAACATCCACTTCTATTAAATGTCAAGATTTCTGAATGTTAATATTTTCCCTCTTGATAGCCCATGGAAAAGGCAGCAGCACACAAAGATGCTTCTCAGAACATACCCAAACTCAACCTAGTAAAAGATCTACAAGTGAATAAATCATGCCTGGGAACATCAAGACAGGAAATGAGCTGAAGAAATGTTGAAAGGTGATAGAAAAATTGGAAAGGAAATGTATGAAAAAAGGGAAAAAAATAAAAAAAAGTAATACATTGAAAAGCAAATTCTTGTCTTCATACAAAGGAATATACTGGGCATCAGAAAGGCAGGCACTTGCAAATAGCTTCAATCTAGGAAAGAGGCCTAGATTAGGCTAGTGCTCATGGCTAGCACAAAGCTGTAAATGGAAGTAACCCCAAATGCTCTCATCCTCACAATCTCAAAAAAAACTGTGCCCCATCTTGATGTCATCCCCACATGCTCAAAACTAATTCCTACAATCCCTTACTTTCATAGAAAGGTGAAAGTGGGTCAGAAAAGTGTTCATTTGGTAACCTTTTTGGGGCCCCGGCTTAAAAACAATCAAAATATCTTACCGTCAGCACTGTATTTGGAGGTGATGACTCTTCTGTACACGCTGACAAAACAGACAAGGAAGGCAGCTGGGATGGGGGGGATAGTGCTGGTGTTTCCTTGCCACTGTCCAAATTTAAAGCTGAAAGTCCCACCCCAAGGTATCCATTGAGTTCACTAGCATTGTTCTGGGAGCAGGGCTTTAAGGAATTCAAGAAAGTGCCACTACGGAGGCAGGTGGTGCTGTGAAAAGTGCTTGCAAGTTTTGCTGTCTTCTGCTCACTGTCATCTGAGTCAAGTTTGGGGAAGGAAAGAGACTTGATATTGCTCACAGCAGTGATAGGAGGGAGGGACACTTTGGAAGACAGTGACATCTTTTCACAAGTACCTAACTGTGGTAAAGTGATAAAGCCATTGGGTTTGTGAAGGGGCTTGAAATCCAGTGCAGCCCTTTCTAGGGATGCCAAGACTTCCTGGTCCTGCAACACAGACCCAGACCCTCCTTTGGGTAAGTTATTGTCTAAGATCTGGGCCACAATAGGTCCAGTTGTACCAACAAGAATGTTTCTCAGTTCTTCTTTCTCATCAATAGTTTTTAATTCCATGTTATCAAATGGGTCCTCTTCACATTCAAAGTCAGCAGGGTTGAAGTCTGCCTTTGTATGAGGTGGGCTGAGAACCTTCTGTTTTATGGCACTGCTGCTGACACGGGTTGGGGTGAGAATATTGTTGTGCTGTAAGCTGGCAAGGATGGGGTTAATGGGAGGTGGCATTGTGGTCGGGCAGTGTGTCTTTGAGAAACCCATTTTGCTGTCACCCTCTGGGCCACTCTTTGAATTCACTTTGGATTCTGTTTCTTCAGCCTTTCGCTCAGCTTCCCTTTGAGCTTCCTGGATTTTCTTAATGTCTTCTGCCCAATTGATTGTTTTTTTTTCCAAGGAAAAGTCATACTGCAAAACATATAACAAAAAAACAGAAAGACATTAAGCATGTGAGTATCATTCTTTCATACTTCAGACAGTTTGTTTTTTAAAGAGTTAAAAATTTTTTTTGAAAACAGATCACTTAAGTAAGAGCTTTGATACCAACACTCCCCTCATCCAGTCTGAGATACCTAGACTGGTGATGTAAAAGCAAGGTTAGTTTGCTTTTTAGATACAAGCAGATTATGACATCAAATCTTTTTATATCACTTGACCAAACAAATTCTGCTTTTGTATTCCTTCCAGAAAATTTTACTATAAAGAAATCACAAGAACTCACTACCATTATTATTGTATACCACTAAATTGGTCTCACTGTCACCCAAAACACTAAGCCTGCTCACAATGTTTCCCTTGAATGAATGCATTCTATATTTCTTTATCTGTCCTTTGAGGCCTGGATCAGGTATAACACCTCTTTTCATAAATAAGGCCTTCCAAACTACTCAAACTCAGTTATAATCACTTCCTTTGAACTTAATGTCTGATTCACTTATTTGACACTTACTTGGCAATGCGGCTTTATACTATTATTTACTTTTCTGTATACATAAACCAGAGAGGAGCAGTGGAAAGCCTGCTAAAGACCAGTGTTTGAATCCTTACTCTGCTACTTCCTACATGTTTATCGCTGGGCAAGTCACTTAAACTTCCTGTAAAATAAAGGACTTCTTAGGTCTCTTTTAGGTCTCTCTTAGTTCTAAGTTTACAATTTAAAAGTCTTGTCCCTCCTACTATTAGATTTTAAGATCCTCAAGAGCACAGACCATAGTTTGTCTCTCTGTATTCCTAACATCTTACAAATAATATGTGCTCAACAAAATATGGTCTAGTGATGATGCTAATCAGCCCACCATTAAAAAATATGGATCTATCTTCACTTAAAAATTCATGCATACAGATCAGAATTTACAAAACAAACTTGAGGGTAATTATTCACTTCACAAATGGATTCATTTCAGGATTTTTTTCAACATAAAGGTCCACTAGTATATTTTAAATGATTTGGGTCACAAAGATTCAACTTAAAAATGATTTTTCAGGAAAATATCTATTATGTAAGAGGTTTCTCCTGAATAATATATAATAAAAGTCAGTCATGTCCTTGGTAAATCACCAACACTATGCAAATGACTGTGTATGCTACTGATTTGTCCAAGGTTAGAAGTAAAAAAGGAAATAGAAAGAGGATAATATGTCCTAAGGAAAAGAAAAAAGATTAAAGGATGATCCACTGGAAGATTAGAACAAAGGACTAAAGTAATAGATAACTCAACTGGTTCCTATGCCTAGTGTACAAAATATCATCTTGACTTTCCCAGATCTAAAGGGATAATTTTTTTTTAAACTGACCCTTCACACATTTTTAGGAGAAAATAACCTGCCAGCTCACAGAAAGATCTAAAAATGAAAATATCTTCTAGGAAAACTACTGAATTATCCCGAAGTCTAAAATCTCACCACTCCAACATCCAACAAATATATGTCACGTATATTTAAACTAGAGTAGAAATATGGCAGCCTCAAATTTTCCAAAGTCCAAAGGTAACGAATTCTTATTAACAAGTTTGTAGGCGCCTCCCCAAAAATGCAAATACCCAAAGTGTCTTGCTATGCATCAGAAGCACAATAATCTTTTCCTTTTAATGAAGGAAAGTAAAAATAGTCTATCATACTACTACAACTCAGATGAGGAGGAAATCAAAGATGGTGATTTGATTTCTACTTCTCCATCTCCCACAAACCCAAAATAGTTACAAAATTATTTATATACACAAGATAGGAAATGTACTTTTCTCCTGAAAACAAGTGAATACTAACAATAAATCATGGAGAAAATTAGAGTGAAAAACCAGGTAACTTTCCAGTTTCAGGCTACAGCCCTCTGAGGGCAGGCTCTGTGTCCATTTTAATGGTTTGTTTTGTCTTTTCATATAGGAAGATAACATTACTGACCCATAATCATCAAGGGACATGGTTCTGAGGTGATTTCCCTTTAGTGAGGATGGGTTGCACTGCTGCTTCCCTCTTGTTCCAGGCAGAGTAAGCTTACTGTCTGTAGCCAAAAAACAGAGTAAAGCTAACTGGTATATACATGAATTGAATAGTCATGTCCTCATTAGCACCATGGTTTAATCCCAAAAGTAAACCACTTTTTTGGTAAAATGAAGAAAGCACTGCATCATGCACCTAAGTACTTAACTAAGTACCTCAACTACTACATGAAGACTGAAAAACCATTAGATCAGGCTTGTAATTTCCTTAAGTCCAATTAATTAACAAAAATAATTTTATGGTTGTGTTTAGCATAAACATCTGCTGCTACTGCTAATAAAATGACTATACAACTCTAAGGACAATTACCTTGTATATATAAAATATTTATGTATATGTTGACTTCTCCAATAGAATAAGCTCCTTGAGGGCAGGAACTGTTTTTTGACTGTAACCCCAACTCCTAGCACAGTACCTGGTATATAGAGTAGGTAACAAAAGATTGCTAATTGATTGACAAAGGGAATTTTCACTTTCATCTATAACCTATAAAATATTGCACAAAGGAGATGTTAATGGCCCATCACTGAGGAACTTTTACAAAATAAATCTACTTCCCTTCCTGACTTTGAAAACCTGTGCCTCAAAGAAGAGGAACCAAAGGGAAATGAGAACTGCTATCTGAGAGTCATTGCTCAACTCTCCCAATGAGACCATTTACAATTTAGACTTTATTTGGGAATAATGAAATGAATAAAGTGAAATGAAGTAATTTACAGAAAAGTATCATGGTACTTAGACTAACAAATGAATCTCCTTTATAATCAAGTTGTTTCCAAAACAAATCAAGCTTGCACATGCACAATCAAAGACAAACATCTTTTTTCATAAATGAGAGGGGAAAGCATTTAAGATAGGTCAACTTAGGTATTTAACCTTTTTAAGTAGCAGTTTATAAAACAGCCAAAAGTCAGCTAGAACAGTTAACAGCAATATAGATTTAGGACTGGAAGGGGCCTTAGCGGGCACTTATTTAACCTCCACCTCTGCCTCATTTTTCATATAAGGAAATTTGTGATCCAGAGATGAGGAAGTGACTTGTTCAAGATCACATAGATGATTTGTAGCAAAGCCAGGATTTGATCCAGATAAAAGGATTGTAGTCCTAGAACTACAAGAGATCTCAGAGGCTCTCTAGTCCAACTCCTTCATTTTACAGAGAAGGAAACAAGGTCTATGAAGGTCAAGTTCATTTGCCTAAAGTTATCCAGGAAGTAAACATCAAATAGGAGAATCAAATGCAGGAACTTGGATGCTAGTGCCAGTACTCTTTTCTACCATGCTATGCTGTTCAGACTCAACATCCAACACTCTTTTTTGTTATTTGAAATGAACATTTTTACATTTTTACAACATCCTGAGCTTCAATGGTCAGGGGGCTTAGAAATTTGTTTGCCACCTTCAACCACAAGAAGTATAATTAAGTCTATCTTAGGCATCCTGTCTGTATCACAACATCTTGACCATGTAATACAACAAAGCAGGTCTGAAGTAAACACCCCAGAATGTCATTCCTGTTTTATCTTATCCATTGGCAAAGTTTTTTTTTTTTTTTAACTGCCAAATTTTGTGTTAGGATATGGTTAATTTGAACTCTTGTTTAAATACCTAGAATTGAGCCCAACTGCTTTCCACATCAACTTCCCCCAAGTGGTACTGTCTGCTCCACCAAGGTCAGTCTATCTCTTCACCTCTGGCACAGCCACACTTCTTATTCTCTCTGTGCCTTTTTTTAATGCTGTTCTTCCCTCCCCCTATCTAAATACTCACTATCTCTCAAGATTAAGACTTGAACCTTGATCTCTGACTACGGATGCAGTTTTCTATCCATTATATGATGGTGCCCTCTAGAGTACTATATGCACATAAACAATGATAATGACAGAAACAAAGCTTTTTTTTTTTAATTAAATAATAGGAAAAGCACTGGCCTACAAGTTAGAAGATCTGAGTTCTAGTCCTAATTCTGTTACTGATCCCCTATATGACCTTAGGCAAATAACTTAATGTATCAATGAATTTTTTCATAAATATCCTCCCTATGGAATTTGAAGCCTGAGACTAATTATAGGCACATAATTTCTCAATGGAATGACTAGCTCAGAATTTTGAATCTAGGCTTTACAGAATAAAAAATAATTTAATTTATAAAACACATAAAGATTATAAATACATTTTTGTGTGTTAGCTTCTTAACTACCTTAAGAGAGAAGCTGCATTAAGTATTACTATTCAAAACACTTAGAGAAATTAAATTATTTGCCTGAGGTCACATAACTTACTCAGTGGTAAAGTTAGGGATATATTTTATTATTATGTGCACTTGGATGAAGAAAAGGAAAACTCAAACTGAAAGAGGTGAGAGGAGTATAACCTTCCACACCAACCATGGGAACCAGTATATACTTTTTAAAACTTGGAGCAATTACAAAGAGTTTAATTGAAAGCTAGAGAGCACTTAAATAAGATATGAGAAGGGCTGAGGTAGATCAGATTTTCCCATTCTGCCATATAATGTTAAAAATTTCAAATCTTGAAACCCAGCAAAACGTTACCAAGAAGAAATACTCACTTGTATTTCCCTGACAGCTTGTAAACAATCAGGCAAGGAGAATCCAATAGGTAGACCAACTTTAGGTGGTGTTCTGAATTTGTCTCCTATCTTAAATGGGACATCATCAAGGTAACTGAAAGTTCCTATAATGAAGAACAAAAATTAATTCATTTCTTCTGCCATGGTTCCATCTGTTCATTAAAAACAAACTAACTCATGCTATTTGAAGATTATCTGTTAGAAGCAGCCAAGGTTTAAAGGGTCTACCTACCATTAATCTCAATATATCTCCTTGACTAACTGTTCTTTCAGTTCCTAAGAAAAGCAGGAGCCAAAGCTATTCTCAAAATCCCAAAATAAATCTATATCTAATCAGAGGGAGGTGGGGGGTGAGTCTCATCTTAAACTGGTGCTGGACTCCCAAAAGGAAATCTGCTCAAGGGTTATATATCATTCTAGTTAACATCAAGTTTATATAAAGAAAAACAATGAATAAGAAAAGGCACCATATTTTACTTCTGGTAAAAATGTAGATTTTTTTCAAAAGGTAAAGTTACAAGAAGGGAAAGATAGAGCAAAATCATGGGAATAAATGCAAAACATTGGTATCATGGTACAGACCAAGGTGGGGAACCTTCGGCTTCGAAGCCACAGGTGGCCCTCTAGGTCCTCAAGTGCGGCCCTTTGACTGAATCCAAACTTCACAGAACAAATCCCCATAATAAAAGGATTTGTTCTGTAAAACCTGGACTCAGTCAAAAGGCTGCACCCAAGGACCTAGAAGGCCACAAGTTCCCCACCCCTGGTACAGACCCTTGGATGCATTAAAGATTATTTCTCAGGGTTTTGTTTTTGTTCTTGGGATCTGTAAGTTAAATGATAGCATATTTTAAGTCCTTGTGCCTCTTGTACACAGTTCTACCTGACCTGCTTACTTTCAAGGTCTAAACATCATTATTTTTGCTGAAAAATATTTATTATCTTCAGATAATAAGAAGTAAGCTGCTGAACAGAACTGAACAGAAGGAATAATGTAATCCCATCTCTCCTACCTTCAAAGTCTAAACTATACCACAGCCAATTTTTTAATGGTCAGGTCATTTACTAATAAAAAGTTAATACAGTAGCTGAAAAACATTTTCATTATCAGCTACTATTAAGAAATTATTCCAGTCAGTCATAGAGGTGGGAAGACCTACACATTTTAAGTTACTGTGCCTCTTGTGGACCATTTTATCTGACTGGCTATTTTCAAAGTCTAACTAAATCATGGTCTCTTTTTTTTTTTGCTGAAAAATATTAGACTGTTAGTAAGAAGTGAGTTGTTAAAAAAAAAAAGTTGAATTGTTCCCTTTGGCTGTTGGGGGAGAGGGTGTCGAGAGAGAAGGAAGATGATAAAGAAAGTACTGAACAAGGAATAATGTAATCTCTTCTTCTCGAATTATATTTCTTGAGGTATATCTAAGCCCACAATAATCCTGTCCTCTGAATTCCTACTTAAGAATCTGTGCCATATGATCTAACCTTTTCTTACATTACTTGATTTTATTTTTCTACTTACTGTGTGCAAGTTGTTTCCCTGATAAAATTGTAAGCTTCTTTAAGACAGTCATGGGGCAGCTAGGTGGTGCAGTGGATAGAGCACCAGCCCTCAAGTCAAGAGGACCTGAGTTCAAATCCAGCCCCAGACACTTACTAGCTGTGTGACCTTGGGCAAGTCATGTAATCCCATTGCCTACCTCCCCCCCCAAAAAAGTCTATATTCTACTTTGCATCTCCTACAAAGCCTAGCGTAGGACTAATAATATAAATAGTAATTTTTAAAAATTTACTAAGCTAAATTATTTGTCATAATTCAGCTACCAAGCCTATTAAGGTTTTTGTATCATTTAGCACTAGCATTGGTACTGTGGGCGAATGTTTCTCCAAAATGCAATAATTTTGGGTATAATCTAAATCATCAATACATGTCACATACAAAAGGCCACAGAGGAAACAAACTTCTTGGGGGTAACACAAAAAAGAGATAACATCCACAAATTAAGCAATCTACTATCTCCTTCCCTGATCAATTTTTTTTACCCCAAGTACCACATAATTGGCAAAAATATAAAAGTAAATCTTCCTATCATTCATTCTTCAATCACAGCAGAATAGTTTTAACTTGAAGATGAAGTTAAGATTCACCTGAAGTTTTGAATATCTTTTCCCTTGTCCCAGATGTAGAATGAGAATGTTTCAGTGGTCTGATCTTGCCAGATGCAGGGACATTTTAATTGATAAATTTTAGAACAGGAATGAATCAACCAATCAGAAAGCCACAAATATGTGCGTAAATAGTTACCACCACAGGCTGACAATGTCATTAAGTGTATGGTATAACTTCATCTGGCTCACTTTTCCAGATGAATCAATCTTATATACCTTGTTTTCTAACAGCCGGTGGAACACTAAATAATCAGAAACCATGTAGTCCTTTAGAATTTTTTTAAGGAAGCAATGGGAATACATGATGAACGAGCATGAACTATGCTGATAATATTTCTGAAATGTAACACAATCATAGGGATTTACTGAACTAGTTTTGCCATGCCTCAGGGTGCCTATTTGAAAATGTCATAAAATTGCCAATATCCTCTAAATAAAATTTTATTTTTTTAAAATAAAAATTATAAAATTGCCATTAGTCAAAATGTTGGGCAGATACACTTTAGTGTTTCTAAAATGTGAATTTATTTTTCTAACTTAATAAAAAGTACCAAAGATCTTACAGTGCTTCAGGATAATCCATGTGAATATTCACTCTGATAATAAGAGTGTGGTATAAGAAACTGGGTATAAGAAGACTAAGTTAGAAGTTTCCCTTTTTTGCCTAAATTACTTAGGTTTTTTTCTCTTTCCTAATAAAAGCACACTGGCAGAGGAAAACTTCTGGTTGAGATTTATATTTAGGTAGATTATGCTTAAGTGAGGTCTTCTCTGTATCCTATAGTATTTAGACAGGCTGGAGATGAATCAGACTTATTTGAAATGAAACTAAGTGCCATGAGGCAATATGGGATAATGAAAAGACATTAGACTTCTAGAACTAAAGGACCTGGATTAAATACTAACTCTGCTACCTACTTATGACCTAGGTGAATCTTGAGCAAAAGAAGTTATTTCCAATTTTCCCTTCTTAAGGTTCACATTTTAGGAAAAATCCAAAGTTAAAGATTATATGACTGTGGGTACTTAAAATTTTCCTCATATGAAAAATGATGGTATTGAACTACAGAATCTAAACCTGCAAGGCCCTTTCCATCTCTGAATCTAATTTTTAAAAGATTAGGACTCACCAATTAATATAGCTAGCCCTCAAACCTATAAACCAGATGGCACCTGCAAAACTGTGTGTATGTATGTGTTGGTTAGGTCAAATGCTATATAAGCAATTAATGACCAGTTCGGGGAAAGTCTTATGCACCACTTCGACAGACTAGGTGCCTTCTCTTTGTGCTCTTAATACAGACTAAAACCAAGGACAATAGAGATCGATACATCTCAAAAGCAGCCACCAGCAAAAGCATGGTACAGCATGTCAATCGAATCTGAGTTTTTATTACATAGAAGGATTTCTAAAACTGTTTATTTAGAATTCAGAACACATTCCTCTCAAGGCATAAAAATGAATTTTAAGTCAAATGCTGGGCATAAGGTCGTACTACAAAAGGCCTAATAGTTTTTCCAACCAGAAACCAGCATTTCTGACATTTATATCCCATTATAAATCTTCACTCTATTAACCAGAACATGTCACTGAAAGTCAATTTTATGAGGCCCATACAGAAGCCTAATAAAACTATGCAAAGCCAAGGTTACATCTCATGATGTTACATAAAAACACAATTTTCCTCTCAAAATTTCACAAAAGTAGAAGCAAAAAGCTTCAGAAACCTATGACAAAAATGTGGTTCTAAAAAGCAATGGCATTTTGGGTTTTTTTCCAATTTATTTATTTTTAGTTTTCAAAATTCACTTCCACAAGAATTTGAATTCCAGATTCTCTTTCCATCCTTCCCCTCCTCCCACCCCATGATGGCCTGCATTCTGATTCTCCCTTCACCGAATTGGTTCTCCCTTCTATTACCCACCCCCCAGCTTCTCTTATGCTCTTCTTCTTTTATTTTCCTGTAAGGTAAGATAGATTTCGATATCCCTTTGCCTGTGTATTTTATTTCCCGGTTGCATGCAGAAACAATTTCTAACATTCGTTTCTAAAACTTTGAGTTCCAAATTCTCTCTCCTCCTGCCTCCCCACCCACTCTCATTGAGAAGGCAAGCAATGGGACATAGGTTATACATGTGCAATCATGCAAAACACTTCCATAATAATGTTGTGAAACACTAACTATGTTTCCCAACATCCTATCCTGGCCCCCATTTATTCTATTCTCTCCTTTATCCCTGTCCCTCCTCAAAAGTGTCTGCTTCTCCTATATCAGATTGAGTCTTGGGAAATAAGGCTGGGAGGGAGGGGGAGAAAAATTTTAAACTCAAAAGCTTATGGAAGTGATTGTTGAAAACAAAAAATAAATTAAATTAATTTGGAGTAAAGTTCACTCATTCCTTCTCACCTCTCCCCTCTTCTCCTCCACTGTAAAAGCTTTTTCTTGCCTCTTTTAGAGCTAATTTACCCCATTCTACCTCTCCCTTTCTCCTTCTCCCAGTATATTCCCCTCACACCCCCTAATTTTCCTTTTTAGATATCACCCCTTCATATTCAACTCTGTGAATATGTGTGTGTGCCCTCTGTCTATATATATTCCCTTCAACTACCCTAATAATGAGAAAGCTTTCAACTCACCCTGTGCCCTGTGTGTGTGTGTGTGTGTGTGTGTGTGTGTGTGTGTGTATTCCCTCCAACTACCGTAACGCTGAGAAAGGTCTCATGAGTTACAAATATCATCTTTCCATGCAGGAATGTAAACTTAAGTAAAGTCCCTTATGATTTCTCTTTCCTGTTTACCTTTTCATGCTTCTCTTGAGTCTTACATTTGTTTAGCTCTGGCTTCTCAAGAATACATTAAATTCCTCTACATCATTGAATATCAATTTTTTCCCTTCATTGATTACACTCAGTTTTGCTAGGTAGGCAATTCTT